ATATTGGAAAACACACAGGGATGTTTTTGTTATATTATAATGTGTAGAGTGGCCAGTAGGGGTCATGCATAGTAAAAATAACATATATATGTTACAACAGCTGTGGAGCTAGTGACCACTATTTACCCACGCGCTATATGCAAGCAATATGAACAGTCTGTAGATGTCCCTTTCCGCGACCAGTGTTCGTCTCCTGTTTAATTGATATTGGAAACACACAGGGAGGTTTCTTTTATATAATAATGTGTAGACGGTCCAGCAGGAGTCATAAATAGTAAAAATAATAAATATATTACAACAGCTGTGGAGGTAGTGACCACTATTTACTGACACGCTATAAGCAAGCAATATGAAAAGTCTGTAGGTGTCCCTTTCCGCGACCAGTGTTCGTCTCCTGTTTAATTGATATTGGAAAACACACAGGGAGGTTTCTTTTATATAATAATGTGTAGACGGTCCAGTAGGAGTCATACATCGTAAAAATAATAAATATATTACAACAGCTGTGGACGTAGTGACCACTATTTACTGACACGCTATAAGCAAGCAATATGAAAAGTCTGTAGGTGTCCCTTTCCGCGACCAGTGTTCGTCTCCTGTTTAATTGATACTGGAAAACACACAGGGATGTTTTTGTTATATAATAATGTGTAGAGTGGCCAGTAGGGGTCATGCATAGTAAAAATAATATATATATATTACAACAGCTGTGGAGGTAGTGACCACTATTTACCCACGCGCTATATGCAAGCAATATGAAAAGTCTGTAGATGTCCCTTTCCGCGACCAGTGTTCGTCTCCTGTTTAATTGATATTGGAAAACACACAGGGAGGTTTCTTTTATATAATAATGTGTAGACGGTCCAGTAGGAGTCATACATGGTAAAAATAATAAATATATTACAACAGCTGTGGACGTAGTGACCACTATTTACTGACACGCTATAAGCAAGCAATATGAAAAGTCTGTAGGTGTCCCTTTCCGCGACCAGTGTTCGTCTCCTGTTTAATTGATACTGGAAAACACACAGGGATGTTTTTGTTATATAATATTGTGTAGAGTGGCCAGTAGGAGTCATAAATAGTAAAAATAACATATATATATGTTACAACAGCTGTGGAGGTAGTGACCACTATTTACCCACGCGCTATATGCAAGCAATATGAAAAGTCTGTAGATGTCCCTTTCCGCGACCAGTGTTCGTCTCCTGTTTAATTGATATTGGAAAACACACAGGGATGTGTTTGTTATATAATAACGGGTAGAGTGGCCAGTAGGGGTCATGCATAGTAAAAATAACATATATATATTACAACAGCTGTGGAGGTTGTGACCACTATTTACTGACACGCTATGTGCAAGCAATATGAAAAGTCTGTAGATGTCCCTTTCCGCGACCAGTGTTCGTCTCCTGTTTAATTGATATTGGAAAACACACAGGGAGGTTTCTTTTATATAATAATGTGTAGACGGTCCAGTAGGAGTCATACATCGTAAAAATAATAAATATATTACAACAGCTGTGGAGGTAGTGACCACTATTTACTGACACGCTATAAGCAAGCAATATGAAAAGTCTGCAGATGTCCCTTTCCGCGACCAGTGTTCGTCTCCTGTTTAATTGATATTGGAAAACACACAGGGATGTTTTTGTTATATAATAATGTGTAGAGTGGCTAGTAGGGGTCATGCATAGTAAAAATAACATATATATGTTACAACAGCTGTGGAGCTAGTGACCACTATTTACCCACGCGCTATATGCAAGCAATATGAACAGTCTGTAGATGTCCCTTTCCGCGACCAGTGTTCGTCTCCTGTTTAATTGATATTGGAAACACACAGGGAGGTTTCTTTTATATAATAATGTGTAGACGGTCCAGCAGGAGTCATAAATAGTAAAAATAATAAATATATTACAACAGCTGTGGAGGTAGTGACCACTATTTACTGACACGCTATAAGCAAGCAATATGAAAAGTCTGTAGGTGTCCCTTTCCGCGACCAGTGTTCGTCTCCTGTTTAATTGATATTGGAAAACACACAGGGAGGTTTCTTTTATATAATAATGTGTAGACGGTCCAGTAGGAGTCATACATAGTAAAAATAATAAATGTATTACAACAGTTGTGGATGTAGCGACGATTTTTACTTCCTACACTCAATAGACAAGCAATGTGAAAAGTCTGTAGTTGTCCCTTTCCGCGACCAGTGTTCGTCTCCTGTTTAATTGATATTGGAAAACACACAGCGATGTTTCTTTTATATGGTAATTTGAAGACGTTCTAGTAGGAGTCATAAACGATGCGATTGTACGATGTTTCAAAGGATGTGTGGCAAATATTTTCATGCAGAGAAAATGACAGTAATCCGCAAAGAGAATGTATTTTAAGCTTTAAGGTCAACAAAGAGCTTGCTATTTGGCACTTTTGTACGACGTTGGATGTGTTTGGCATCACAATGAGCAATATGACATCATAACAGTTGACCCGTGAAGATCCAGTGTAGAATAGGTCTTAGGCAACCCATTCTTGCCCTAAAAGGCGACTATGCGTGTCATAAGAGGCGACTAATGGGATCGGGTGGTCGGGCTCGCTGACTTGGTTGAAGGATGTCATCGATCCCAATTGTGTGGATTGATGCTCATGATATCAATGACAAGAATAGGTTGCCGAAGACCTAATCTACCCCGGGTCTTCACGGGTATGATAAGTTTGTGTGAAGTATTACAGTGTAAAGGAACTGCTGGACATATAGAGCACCATATTGTGTTTACAGGCTGTTGTCAGGGATTCCGTAAATTCAGATCAACAACCCACTCAAAATACTGGACTCAACCCATGCCACTTCACTCAATATATTTTTGTATTACAAAAGAGTTGGCATTTTATTTAGTCGTGGTAGAATGGAGATTTAATATTTGAAACCTCATCCTGCGCTTTTGGTTCCAAATTCAATTTAGCATGGTTAAATCTACAGGTAACCTAGCTCTACATTGAAAACACAGTATGTTTATGTCCTAAATATGATGCGCTGCCCTTTTGAAGCTTTTAGGTCAGGGGTATAAAAATATTTCTAAGTTGAAAACATGAAACAAGATACCGGTATATTTTCTGAGAAATTCCACTTATCAAACTGTGCACTGCACCTCCTCTATTTTAGTATGGAAACTGTTCCCTAAATTTCAAAAGAATGCATGCAGTGCTTAAAATGTTTAAGTAGAAAATATATAAGAAACCCAATGAAAAACAGCTGAATTTTTTTCAGAAAATCCGAAAAATTGAAATCAAACCTCACACAGCACCTGTCCTATTAATACACAAAGTTTGAGAAGAATCTATGCTGTAGTTTTCAAGTTATAAGTCACACTAGAAAATGTCCTCGGAAAGATTAAATCCCCGACCTTTTATGGTTAAGAAACCATTAATTTCAAGTAGGGCTCATGAAAATAACATTAAGGTTGCCTGACTGGCTAACTTAATTTTCTTGTGAACTATAACACATTATTCAGTTGACAAATGTGAAACGAGAATATCATGTTAAAATTGTCACAAGCTAGATATAATGATAAATAGCTGAGTTCTGATATTAAGGATGTACTGTAATATTTGTCATGCTTGAGATGATCCATTGTTGTAGTTCTGCAAGTGACAGAAACCCAATTGATTTTGACTGTATTTCTAACAAAAGTAACATTCACTGAAACTTGAATACCAGATTTTATTCCTTGTATTGGGAAGTGTAAAAGTGCATTAACACTGTCACACACGCTTTATTTGTAAATTGAGGCATTTATTATGTGATATATTTACAGTAGGGCTGGGACGAGTTCAAATTTACTACCCGGTTACCCGATCCCCTATTACCCGGGTACCCACTGCAAGTCTCAAGAGTAGGGAACAAAATGTCAGATTGGTAATTGTTTTACCGCAGCCCTGGCTAAAGCTATTCAGATACATGTATCAAACAATCAGATCATGCATACACTGAAGTTGACTGAAGCTTTATTTTTACTCAAACATTTACAAGTCAAAAGGAATGAGTGCATCGTCAGAAAATAATCTTAACATTAGCGACTTGCAGTGTAACCATTGAGCTATAGTATGTTTTAGTCTTTAAACAATATATAACGTGACTAACCACGGGTCTGGGTAGTCCTGTGGGTACCCGGGTCCTATTCAGGGCCCACAAGACTCGAGTACCCGAGTCACCCGTCCCAGCCCTAATTTGCAGTGTTAAATGGTAGTGTTTTCTATTTTGGAAACAGAACACAAACTCAACATATGAGTGTTAGAACATAGAGACTTTCAACACATCCTTTTGTCTAACATTGTGCATGATACACAAAAAATAATAACGGGTGGTATAAAATGATTTCACAAGGTTTGGTTGAAAAGCAGTGCCGCTTATTATTAATGGCTAAAATGACAATACATGAGCAAACTCGATTATTTACAGACCGCCGTCATTTAGTTGAAATATTGGTGAGTGCTTCGTTAAACAACAACAAACAAACAAATCTGACACAACTAACCCAAAGGATCTAAGAGGCACGCGTGGATAACATAATATGCGAAAAGATATGTCTTGAGCCATATCGATTTTAATAATACTTGGTGGCAAACAAATTTTGCATTCGCACTGTTGACACAACCACAATAAAACCGACCATAACCCACCTAAGAGACTTCCTGGCAGTTATAGTTAGCGATCTGTACGTTAATATAACAACAAGCCGACCTTCGACAGTAAACAAATGAAAAACAGATCCGCCATGACAGTAGCACTGAGCGCAAGTAATTAATGGGAAGAGTCGCGTCCCTTGCAAGATGTATACCACTCGATAAACGTAGCGCTGTGGCCTGGTCTGGGAAAGGGACGTATACTGACTCGACCACAGAAAACAACATGAGGACTAATTTTTCTATTAATAGAACTGATAATACCATGAACCAATCAGATACTAGTCACGTGGTAGGTTTCGGCCAATGCATGTGATGCGGGGATTCCCCGATAGGAATCCCCCAATGGCGGATGGAATGCAACGACCAAAAATACAAATTGTAATTACCAGATTTCATAAAGCTGAGAACATTTCGAAAACACAACGTCTGTTAGTATAGTCGAGTGAAAAAGGGAGACATCTTCCCGACATTAGATGCGCCCTCTGGGCCCCCTGTACAACAAGAAATAAAGACAAACACAAGGCCCAGCATACGGTGGTTGGTTCAAACACAGGCAAGTTTTACTTTCAAGTTCCTGCTTTGTTACTATATTTACACACTAGACAACAGGATTCTCGGAATTCACACGTACATTTTGTACTACGCTCATTTCGGAGGAAAAGTCTTTGAACTAAACCATTCATCAGTGTGTTTGTGATCAGTGTACTATGTTGACAGTATGGGTGACTTGCAGATGCAACGACACAGTTTGTTTGGCATGAAAGACGTATTTTTCACAGAATGTCTGCCATCTGCGGTGGTACAGATTGGTCCAGGTGATTTAGATCGATACTGCTACACTTATTAAACTTATTGTTCCCAAAGGTTAACTATGATCGCACGCCATCACAAATGTATTTCCCTTTATGAATTAGTATTAATATATTATATGTACCCTATACTCATTACCTGCCATAACTTGAACGAACCTAATCGCCTAAAACTGATGGTACATTCAGGAAGTAAATAGATCAGGGATTTGTCTAGGATTCGAAACCAATTTGTGCCCAATGGCATGCTAATTTAAACAGTTGTGATATTGTTCAAAATTGATTTATTTTTTTGTTCTTAATTTCGGAAATCTTGGCGATTTGGGAAATTTGGTATTCAAATTTTGCAATTTTTTATTGTTAATTGCTGCAGACTTGGTGCCAAGATTGAGCTCTGAGCAGATCTAGATAAATCCCTGTAGATTCATTATTATTATTATTATTATTATTGCTTGAACTATGCAATCACATGGTCATAAACTGAATATTGCTTTGTAGTCCTATATCTATGAGTTTTCTTTGAAAAAAGCGATTGTATTTGTAACTGACAAGTGGAGAAACACTGTTTGAAGAATTGAAGTCTTTTGATATATTTTGAGGAAAAGTATTCAAAGATGTCTGTCTTTATTGTGATCAGACACTTTGCTACTGGAACAACTACCAGTAGGTTATATCATGTGCATTTTTCAAAGAAACATCCTTACAGATTCAGCATAGAGTAATGTTATAAGTATTTGATTTAAAGCAGCATGCCAATTTCTCACAAATTTGACGAATTACATTGTTTAGATCTTGACAAAAAATGGGCACCAGGTGGATTAAAGTCACTCTTTAACACACACCATTGTTGCACAATACCTCTGATCAGGGGCATGACTATTAATGCTTGAGTTGAAGGGTCATTCTCTAACTGTAAGTTGACATCCAATTGTATGTTCAGTTTGTGTCTTTACGTTAGTGTTTCAGGGATCTCATCTTCCCATTATATGAAAGCCTAGTTTCTACCCTTGCCACATCAAGGCCACATTTCTTGGCTCGACCCTGGCGCCACCTCGTGAAGATTGCCCCTTGTTATGAAAACTCGGTATCCAATCAGATTGCTGTTCTTATCTCTTCGGTGGCGACTACCATAGGCGACAACCTAGTCGATCAGATATCGAAACACTCAAGATTTCATCCCTGACACAAAAACAGAGGCAATCGTTGGGGGGTTTAAAAGATGAAAAAGACATATTCGTGTCAACAAAGACAGGCAGCGGAAAATCACTTTCCTACGAAGGTGTACCAGTTGTGGATGTTGATTTTGTGAAACATTCTCTGATTGGACTATTGATATGTGCGACAGTCCAATCATATTCAGCACAGGACACTGGTCTTGATGTGGCAAGGGTGGAAACAAGACTTTGATAAAAAGTCTAGTAGTTGCCTTTTAACTCGAGAAGATGCAGGGATTTATCGTTTCAAATTTTCTCTGTAAACTATTGAAGAACTGTCATCGAAATTAGACAACTTTTTTGCTGACTGTCATGTCATCCTGACTTTAAAAACAGATCAGATGTTAGTTAGATGTGAACGTACGTAACAAATCAAGATCCAGGTGGAAAAAATACAATGACTTTGAGTAAATACAGGGTACAACTGACTGTAGGAGCTGCTGAGTTTAGTTTTCCCACAAATGCCACAGGGACAAATACACTAACAAACTTTCTAGATGATTATTGGTAGGTGAGGTGGGGAGGGGATTAACGTCATGTACAAGCTTATTCCACTTATATAGTGACGTGTGTTTGTTTGTGTGTGTGGACTAATTCTGGTTGTATACTTAATTTAGTGTTTTCAGCTGTCTGGTGTTGATAAACTTGCATTTTGTCAGCATTGACAGAGCTTCAGATAAGCTGCGTATCTGCGTAAAATACGCATCAGCAATGCAGAAATATGCAGTGAAATATAATTCAAGCGTATCAAATACGCAACAAACATTACAGATACGCTACAAAAATAAAACTTGTGCGTATCATCAAAATATTGTGAAGTAACCCTGCGTATTCGATTAGCAAATCAGCACCTTATTTTGAAATTATATACGGACATTCCATCAACCTTGCCAAACTCCTTGATGACAGTTACATCATGATCATTTGCCATCACACTTTCTTGTGGAAGTATTTTTGAGTCCTATAAAGCCCTCGAACCCACACGACACCAGTTTGCAGGGACTAGATGAATAGTGTTTTTAAATATATCTTAAATACCCACATGTGTAAAAACTAGTGGGTAGCAGAAATTTGAATACCCAGATAGAATAACTGATACCCAGTGATTTTAAAATGCATGGGTAAAATACCCACAACACCAAAAGCTTATCTGGAGCTCTGATTGAAATGTTAAGGACGAAATATTTACAGATGTTAGATTCCTACAACATATGTTTAGCAGCAGACTGAACTTTGCAATGATCTCTACATTGCGTATTGCATTTGTATATTACTATTGCTGGATACGATAAATATGTTGTCCGGAAAGTAGTTGGGTTACGATGTATTTCTACCATTAGAAGTTCTAATATGTTGAACACTGAAGGATATTTTGAAAGTTAATGAGTTATTATTACTATTATTATTAGTGATCCGGGTAATTGTCAAATGGATATTCTAAAGTATTATCATGCAATGATAAATGCAAGATGGTGATGTCATTTGTGCTACTATAGTCAAGTCAAGGGTAACATATCTTCTGACCTGTTATGAATTATTTAAGGTGGAGTATTGCCAAAGTAAAGTATTGGTAAAGTGTATTGCCATTGTGAGAAGTGTTAGAGTAAATAGTATCCGCTAGCTCATTCTATGACATAGTTGAAAACAAGATCTCTGACCTGTGACATGAAAAGGATACAACACTCTTTAAAGTATGACATCACTGCTGTATAGTTTTGATGTGTGATGTCATACAATGATAACACAATATGCAAGGATGAGCTACTTGTTTGAAAATTGGGGGAAACGTATAAATGCACATGTTTTTTTATTGATTTGGGAAAACATTTGCACCCTAACAAATAAATTGCATGTTTTTTTTCTCTGAGATTTTAAGCTAGTGGTTAACATATTTTTAAAGTTAAATACCATTATATATTTATACAAAGCTGTTAACAATGTGAATGTTTTCCTTATGTGGCATTATTGCAAAGTGTGAATTGGAGGCTGTTGTTAATAAGCATGTCTAGTGCAGTAAAACAATCGCTAATCTCTTCTTATTTCCTTATTCAGAGAGTTAGATTAATGACAAATAGTTTTGAAATACCAATTCGCAAATGTTAAATACTTTTTTAACAGACCAGTAAACATCCTTAAATAAATTGGTTAGGTTACCATGTTCATATGCTAATATGAAGAACGGAAAGCAATAAATTTGATATATTTCTTAAAATGTAAAATGGTGAAATTTCATGGTAATCAGATAAAGCATGTTCATTTAACATTTGTCCTCATCAGAAAGGAGGGTCATCTCATTCCGCACCTCAGAAATCAATTATGAATAACTGCGAGACAGTATTACGGATGGTACACAAGACAACATATTTCAGATCACTTTTGAACAATTGAACAGCGTTTGAAATTGTAAACCAACAAATTAAAATAAGATCAGGGCCCCGTTCCGCAAAGTGGTCTTAGCGCAAAAACAATCCGGACTTCTATCCATAATCAAGGGCTTAAGTAGTCTTAGTGCTAAGACTGCTTTGTGCAAGAGGGCCCTGGCCTCAGTTGGTGATGGTGAACGTATGACTCAACATTTACAGTGTTTCATTCACTGTGGGGTATGCCCCCCCTAAACAGGAAATTATTTGAACCCAGAATCATATGTTGTTTGTAAGAAACTGAAACAGTCAGATGTTAATGACATTCCCTTCAGAACTACATTGTTTGGTTGTTACGTTGATAATCACATATAGAAAATATCCATGACAATCACATATAGAAAATATCCATGATTATCACATATAGAAAATATCCATGGTAATCACGTGTAGAAAATATCCATGGTAATCACATGTAGAAATAACCTTGATTATCAGATAACGAAATAACCATGATAATCACATATAGAAAATATCCATGGTTATCACATGTAGAAATAACCATGATTATCAGATATAGAAATAACCATGGTAATCACATGTAGAAATAACCATGATAATCACATATAGACACTATCCATGATAATCACATATAGAAAATATCCATGATAACCACATATAGAAATAATCATTATAATCACATATAGAAAATATCCATGGTAATCACATGTAGAAATAACCATGATTATCAGATAACGAAATAACCATGATAATCACATATAGAAAATATCCATGGTAATCACATGTAGAAATAACTATGATTATCAGATAACGAAATAACCATGATAATCACATATAGAAAATATCCATGGTAATCACATGTAGAAAATATCCATGGTAATCACATGTAGAAAATATCCATGGTAATCACATATAGAAAATATCCATGGTAATCACATCTCGAAAATATCCATGATAACCACATATAGAAATAACTATTATAATCACATATAGAAAATATCCATGATAATTACATCTAGAATATATCCATGATAACCACATATAGAAATAACCATTATAATCACATATAGACAATATCCATGATAATCACATATAGAATATTTCCATGATAACAACATATAGAAAATATTCATGATAACCAAATGTACAAAATATCCATGATAACCACATCTCGAAAATATCCATGATAACCACATATAGAAATAACCATTATAATCACATATAGAAAATATCCATGATAATCACATCTAGAAAATATCCATGATAACCACATATAGAAAATATCCATGATAATCACATATAGAAAATATCCACGATAACCACATATAGTAATATTGTTGGAATATTGCTAAAAGTGACGTAAAACCACACTCACTCACTCACTCACTCACTCACGAGATGTCTGGCAAATTTGGTATAACTGGGACTAATCCATTTTACCCCCTGGGTAACAAGTATTGGATAGTGGAAGAACTCAACCTTGGCATATGTGCATTTATGGTATCTTGACAATTTGGGTGAGACAAACTGCAGCTATACCGTTTCCGACAAGCTTTGTTGTGAATTACATTTTTGTAAATACCTGACATACTTATCGATGAAGTTTTACCTCACAATTCACATTAGATGACTTTCAGTTCAGTCGATCAGTATTTATTAATGTATCGTAATTCTGTCTCTAAATTCTAATATTATGCAGTTAGTAATATCAGATTGCCAGCTTGATTTTACCAAGTAGCCAAGTGGCAACTGCCTAAATGATATTTTTTGCCAAGTTGAAATTTCAATCACCATGGCAACCATATTAGTTGCAACTTTGAGGCTTGAGTTATGGGGTATTTATGTTCAAAGTTCAACTGCAACATGACATGTACTTCCTGTAGAGCGAAAAGGTGTGACAGGCCAAGGTCAAAGATATGACAATGAGATGAGGTTTTTGACAATGCCTTCCAAAGGAAAAGGTTTAAATCGGCAAACAGTTTGACCGTCCTGTTAATCAATCGTGTTAAGGTGTAAATGGTTTGCATGTATTTAAGAAAAATGTCTTGTACAAAGGATCAATGAATTATGTAAATTTCCTTGTTATGAGGAAAACATTTAGTATAGCTCTGGGACCACGTTGTTGTAATTAATATGGTGTTACATCATACTAATCCTGTTACCATGATAGTGTCAGTTAGATCATTGAATACTGTAAGTGTAGGGTAGATAATTGAATACTGTAAGTGTGAGGTAGATCATTGAATACTGTAAGTGTAGGGTGGACCACTGAATACTGTAAGTGTATTGTAGGCAAATGATGAGGGTTGAAATGTTATGACTGATGTGTCATGGATGGATGTAAACCAATGTTTCATGGGTAGGTGTTAACTGATGGATGTTCACTGATGTTTCATGGATGGATGTTAACCGATTGATGTTAACTGATGTTTCATGGATGGATGTTAACCGATGGATGTTAACTGATGCCTTATTGGTGGGTTTTTACAGATGAATGTTAACTGATGTTTCATGGATGGATGTTAACCGATGGATGTTAACTGATGCCTTATTGGTGGGTTTTTACAGATGAATGTTAACTGATGTTTCATGGGTAGGTGTTCACTGATGGATGTTAACTGATGTTTCATGGATGGATGTTGACGGATGTATGTTAACTTATGTCTTATTGGTGGGTATTTACTGATCAATGTTAACTGATGTTTCATGGATGGGTGTTAACTGATGGATGTTAACTGATGTTCCATGGATGGGTGTTAACCAATGGATGTTAACTGATGTTTCAGGGATGGGTGTTAACCGATTTGTGTTAACATTTGTCTTATTGGTGGGTTTTTACTGATGAATGTTAACTGATGTTTATGGGTAGGTGTTTTCTGATGGATGTTGACTGATGTTTCCAGGAATGGACGACGCTGGTGACTCCAATGACTCAGTGGAAGTTCCACTGGAGCAGTCCCATCTCCCTGTCGACTTGCAGACGAAGTTCGTCGACAATGGTGACTACACCATGGTGAATGGAAATGGGACGTTGGGTAGGTACTCACATACACTGTATGTGAATTTACTTCCTTTAGTTGTGAAATAATACCTGAGCTTGTTACTATGGTTACAACCTAATCCTAGTCTAATCCTTTGGTGGGGTGGTGGGGTAGTCTCAAGGTTAAAGCATTGGCTCTGAAGACCCAGGTTGGATTCCCCACTGGGTACAATGTATGAAGCTAATATTTTGTGTTATTTTGGGAATATCTCTAAAAGCAGTGTAAACAGAGATTTATCTAGACCTGCTCAGAGGCCAATTTTTACCCCGACTAAAAATTCCCAAAATTAATTACAAATTTCCAATTCCTCAAAATGTACGAAAATAAGAACATTAACAAGACCCAATTAGAACAAAATCACAATTTTTTCCCTATTTGCCTGCCAAGGGCAGTTAGTTTTGAATCAAAAACAAATTCCTGACAAAACACGACTTACTTACTCATCATGTAGACAATACAGGGCTCTAATTAGCTGTATTAAACATGTACCAGTGCAACCTATTATTGGAAATGCAACCTTATATTTATGCCTACATGCACCAAATGATTGTCCAAAAATTTCAAACTTGTGTCTAACCCTCACTTGCTCACGCAACATCTGTCTTTGGATGCATTCACAATCTCATTAAAACCAGATCTTAGTTCTCGCTACCGCTAAGCAAAGATCTGAGGACATCCCATTACGGGTCACATCAGACCGACCTTGCGCGAACTTTGACCGACCAATGGAATGACCAATCAGAAGGCAGCTTTCTTGTGCTTTACGGCACAAATTTCAAATTGGCGACTACGCCTCGAAACATATTTTGACAAATTCTTGATTACAAATTTGAAACCTGAACAAAAAAAACATTCTGGAATGGCTAATAGATGGTCTAGAATGTAAGGATTCAGTCGTTAAACCCGTAACTATCGTTCGGAATACCCCATGTTAAAGTTTTCGAGATTGCATGACACATTCCGACTCTCACTTTCATAATCTGGTAAGCGACGCACTGGTTTGTCGGATGAAAGGTCGTTCTGACGTGACCCCTAATGGGATGTCTTCAGATCTTTGTTTAGTGGTAGCGAGAACTAAGGTCTGATTTTAATGAGATTGGATGCATTCACTACCTCAAAGCTTTATATACCATACAACATCAATAATCCCTGTGTTACTGTATGTGTAATTTTTCATGCTTTTGGGGTCATCAACTATGGGTACTTTTAATTTGGTAAATTTATGGGACCGGGGTGCAACCTGGTTTTGTCTGGTGCAACAATGTTTTCATGGCAACATGGCCCTGGTGCAAGTTACACCAAGTTCCTTAAATCGAGCCCAACAATAAACTGAAAGATGGGCAAGCTATGACTTGACTTTTTCTGTGTCATGCTACCCAGGGTGCAGTCTCTGACTTAAGCCATCATGTACATAGACTGAGTCTAGTTAATGTCTTTTAGTTTATTAACTCATGATTAAGATCAGCTGTTTTGGTCCATATGTATGCAGAGACGAAAATCTACTGACAATAATGTCTATTTAAAATATTGTATAAGTAGACACAAGTGTTTTTGTAATGGACTGAGATTGTGTGTGGTCACATCCAGATGTGTCTTCCAGTTCTTATAGCTGTTGGAGTTGGGTGGGTCTTATCCAGACACTCAGTTGCTACCATGCAGAGATTTGTTTACACATTCTCAGAGGCCGGTATTTGGCTCTAAATCTGTTACAGATGTTTGTAAACATTCCTAAATTGGAAATACAAATTTCTCAACTCATAATAATGAACTTATGTTATCGCTTTGTATCAGTGGCTTTTGTTTCACTAATAACAGAACCAGCAGTGATATATGCATATTTACTTAGTTTTACGTCATTTCACTTATACATTGTAAAACACAGTTGCAGAAAATACGAATTTAGAAATGAATCCAAATTGAATAGAAGTATTTATTTGTTCCCAATTTGCCTGCCAAGGGCACTAAGTTTGAAGTCCCATATAAATCCCGGCCATAAGTACAGAGTTCACGTGACATAAAAGTCCATTTACTCATCCAGTTCAGAGCATGTGACAAGAGTGTGGTGTTTTTAGTGTGAGTTCTAGAGTGTGGTTGTGTGTCCAGAGTTCCAGCCTCACATCAAGATCGTGGTGTTTCTAGTGTGAGTTCTAGAGTGTGGTTGTTTGTCCAGAGTTCCAGCCTCACATCAAGATCGTGGAGGAGCCCCAGCAGCGTGGGTTCCGGTTCCGCTATGAGTGTGAGGGTCCCTCCCACGGAGGCCTGCAGGGGGAGAAGAGTGAGAAGAGCAGGAAGTCCTACCCCAGCATCAAGGTAGGGCTTCTCATCACATGGGTTCTCTGCACAGGGGTATCCTAGCAACAAGGTAGGGCTTCTCACCCCATGGGTTCTCTGCACAGGGGTATCCTAGCAACAAGGTGGGGCTTCTCACCCCATGGGTTTTCTGCACAGGGGTATCCTAGCAACAAGGTGGGGCTTCTCACCCCATGGGTTCTCTGCACAGGGATATCCTAGCAACAAGGTAGGGCTTCTCACCCCATGGGTTCTCATCTCATGGGTATCCTAGCAACAAGGTAGGGCTTCTCATCACATGGATTCTCTGCACAGCAGAATGGCACAGCTTCTAATCACATGGGTTCTCATCACAGATGTCTCCTAGCAACGAGGTAGGGCTTCTCATCACATGGGTTCTCTACACAGGGGTATGGTACAGCTTCTCATTGCATGGGTTCTCATCTCAAGGCCATCCTAACAACAAGGTAGGGCTTCTCATCACATGTGTTCTCTGCACAGGGGTATGGTACATACCCAGCTTCTCATTGCATGGGTTCTCTGCACAGGGGTATCCTAGCAACAAGGTAGGGCTTCTCATTGCATGGGTTCTCATCACAGGGGTATCCTAGCAACAAGGCGGGGCTTCTCATCACATGTGTTCTCTGCACAGGGGTATGGTACAGCTTCTTATTGCATGGGTTCTCTGCACAGGGGTATCCTAGCAACAAGGTATGGCTTCTCATTGCATGGGGTCTCATCACAGGGGTATCCTAGCAACAAGGTAGGGCTTCTCATGACATGGGTTCTCACCACAGCAACAAGATAGGGGTTCTTATCACAGGGGTATCCTAGCAACACGGTAGGTCTTCTCATCACTGGGGTATCCTAGCAACAAGAATTGGGCGCTCGTCACACTGGTATCCTAGCAACACAGCAGGGTTTCTCATCACATGGGTATCCTAGCAACATGGTGGGGTTTCTCATCATATGGGTATCCTAGCAACATGGTAGGGGCTCTCATCACAAGGGTATCCTAGCAACAAGGTAGGGGTTCTTGCCTCAGGTATCCTAGCAACAAGGTAGGGGTTCTCACCTCAGGGGTATCCTAGCAACAAGGTAGTTCTCACCTCAGGGGTATCCTAGCAACAAGGTAGTTCTCACCTCAGGGGTATCCTAGCAATAAGGTAGGGTATCACAGGAGTATGATGTCATGTGTTATTTTTAATGGATAGAGCGGGTAATGGAAGGCCGGTGCTTCCTTCCCTGGCCGCATCATACCAAAAGATGATGTTCGTTTTGTTTGCCTGCCTGGCACTCAGCATTTATGATTTGGACTGGGACTGGTCTGCTCAGAGGCTGTATCCATGATAAACTGTAGCAAGGTATCTCAGTGGGCTGGCACTATAAACCAGACAGGGCTAGTACAAACAGCCGCACACGTACACTCTGCATGCACTTCACTATGTGCAATAATCTTCAAGCCGACATTAAACCCCATGTTACCTCACTTCATGTGTTAAACATATGCTTGTCATAGAGTATCACTTCAATATTTCATGGCAGATTGAGAACTACAATGGTCCAGCTAAGATTGTGGTGAGCCTGGTTACAGACGAGGATAGTCCTAAACACCACGCCCACAAACTAGTGGGAAGGAACTGTCAAAATGGAATCTGTGTCCAAGAGACACAGTCAACCAGTGGCATTATTTCGTAAGTGTTTTACTGTTCCCAATCAGGTCCTACAGGACACAGACACGTTTTCGGAGACGGTTTCAGTAATGAAGCAACCCCTCACTTCACAACCACAAGACACAAACACTTGACCTAAACACCACGCCCACAAACTAGTGGGAAGGAACTGTCAAAATGGAATCTGTGTCCAAGAGACACAGTCAACCAGTGGCATTATTTCGTAAGTGTTTTACTGTTCCCAATCAGGTCCTACAGGACACAGACACGTTTTCGGAGACGGTTTCAGTAATGAAGCAACCCCTCACTTCACAACCACAAGACACAAACACTTGACCTAAACACCACGCCCACAAACTAGTGGGAAGGAACTGTCAAAATGGAATCTGTGTCCAAGAGACACAGTCAACCAGTGGCATTATTTCGTAAGTGTTTTACTGTTCCCAATCAGGTCCTACAGGACACAGACACGTTTTCGGAGACGGTTTCAGTAATGAAGCAACCCCTCACTTCACAACCACAAGACACAAACACTTGACCTAAACACCACGCCCACAAACTAGTGGGAAGGAACTGTCAAAATGGAATCTGTGTCCAAGAGACACAGTCAACCAGTGGCATTATTTCGTAAGTGTTTTACTGTTACCAATCAGGTCCTACAGGACACAGACACGTTTTCAGAGACAGTTTCAGTAATGAAGCAACCCCTCACCTCACAACCACAAGACACAAACACTTGACATGGGCAGTTCTAGTTGTGGTCCAGCCATTTAATATTCTTGGAGTGTTTTCCGGAAAGGAAGAACCAAGCAATTTAAATATCAAGACTGACCAGTGAATAATGCATGTTTTTTTGTAAAACATAAATTAAGTACAGATAATTAAAAGCAGTTTCTGTGTCCCCAGCTTCCCCAACCTGTGCGTGCTGCATGTCACACGGAAGAAGGCGACCGAGGTGTTGGAGGGACGGATCATTGAGTCCCTCATCCTGGAGAGGAAGGTCGAGCAGGGACACATGAATGTTGAGATACCCATCACAAGTACGTTTTTGTCATTGCTTATTTGACCCGTGAAGATCTGGAGTAGAAGAGGTCTTCAGCAATCCACGCTTGCCGTAAAAGGCGACGATGCTTGTTGTAAGAGGTGACTATCGAGATCGGGTGGTCAGGCTTGCTGACTTGGTTGAAGCATGTCAGCAATCCCAAGTACGTGGATCAGTGCTCATGATGTCAATCACTGGACTGGAATATGGCTGAGTGCAGCATTAAACAACAAATAAACAAAGAGCAATCATATCTCATTCCCACAGTCAGCAGGATGATTCCACAAGAGGATGCAGGTTTTCTTGTAGCCTTGACCCACTGCATATTTTGTCATTAACGATGAACAAGCTTGAAAGAGGCATGCATTCTGTTCATCACGATTTTAATGACATACAAAATAATGAAAAGGTTGTTGAAAGAAATATGAAGCCTTGAAAACATGAACAATTCCTGTTACCATAGTTACACATGAACATGATATCATGCTGACAGACCAAACATTATAACTGGAATAGGATTAGGGATTAGAACCAACAGTCATTAGATCTTGACAAAATAACACAAATACTACGTAGATTGCAGCACTTCAGACCATTGGGCAATGGGGGGGGGGGGGGGGATAATGCATTATGGGAAATATATCAACATTTGTGTCAATTTAAAGGTGTTAATGAACTAGTTCAGAGCTCCAGATAAGCTGCGTATCTGCGTGAAATACGCATCAGAAATGCAGAAATACACAGTAAAATATAATCCAAGCATATCAAATACGCAACGAACATTACAGATACGCTACAAAAATAAAACTTGTGCATATCATCAAAATATTGTGAAGTAACCCTGCGTATTCGATTAGCAAATCAGCAACTTATTTTGAAATTATAAACGGGCATTCCGTCAACCTTGCCAAACTCCACAATGACGGTTACATCATGATCATTTGCCATCACACTTTCTTGTGGAAGTATCGCGGTATTTTTTAGTCCTATAAAGCTCTCGAACCCACACAACACCAGTTTGCAGGGACTAGATGAATAGTGTTTTTAAATATTTAACTTAAATACCCACATGTGTAAAAACTAGTGGGTAACAGAAATTTGAATACGCAGATAGAATTACTGATACCCAATGATTTTAAAATGCATGGGTAAAATACCCACAACACCAAAAGCTTATCTGGAGCTCTGCTAGTTTATTATTGTCATAAGTTCATGGGTTTGTATTCACTATGCTCCTTCATCTCCCTAGAATGCTATTTTTAACCAACCAATGAAGACTCAGCCTGGTTCCAGAAAGGGGGATATCGGCCAGTGTCCGAAATAACTGCCTGCCTGCCTGCCCATGGCTGGCAACTTTTCTGGAATCATGGATTTATATTTTGCCTGGACTAATGAGTCTATGCATAGTCCAATCAAAACCGTGTAACGAAATTGATATCCAGTTCATAAAATGCTGCGCAGATTTCGGTCTATTGCAGGATTTGCAAAGCATGTACATACTGTCAACTAATGTCAACATATATTTTCCAAACCGTTTCATGTTTTTAATTTAATCTTACACCAAGCATTAAACCACATTTCACCTCACCTTTCACTAAAGTTTCGCTCAATACAGTAAGTTTAGAAATTGCAGATGAATATAGTCTGTGACTGAACCGTCCCATTTATCTTATAGCCAAATGATTTGCAGCCATGTTCGTCTACATAATCACCCAAACTTTGGAAAAACCTTATCTGAACTTCCTGGGAACTTTTTTCAATAGCATAATATCAAGCCGAAACTGAATTGGTGTATAAGATTAAAAGTAGTTCCTACGTGTTGATCTCAAAGGCACATTTATCGGATCATCATGCAAAGTATATCGGACAGGTTTATCGCATCGATAACACTTTTCACTATATGATGTACATGACTGCTGAACCTGTTGTCTGTTTGGTAGAGGAAGATAGAGAAAAAGCTCGAAAGCAAGCACAGGACCAGGCCAAGAGCATGTCCCTGAACGTGGTGCGGCTGTGTTTCCAGGTGTATCTCATGGACGAGAAGAAGAACTTCACCAAGCATCTCCGTCAAGTGGTATCCAGGCCGATCTACGACAGCAGTAAGTATCTCCGGTCATCACAGACTCAATGAAAATAATTCATGTTCTTCATCACGAAGGCTAAACAAAATAATAGTCTTGGTTCTCCTCACCGCCCGCATCATCATAAAGTCTGACGCACCTTTCGATTTTATTTTCATTTTAAAATTTTTTATAAAAAAAATACTAATACTTATAAACAATGCGATCCAATATAGCACACAGTTACTTCCCTTTACATGTGCAATGCTTTAGTGTGCATATCCAGCGTTAGAAATTGGCACTAGTCCTGTAGTCCTTACCAAACTGCCCAATAGTAAAGGTATCCTGAGGACTAGTAGAAATTGGCCCATTTTAAGGGTTTTATAATTTTATCATTATAAGGACTAGTGGACAAAAACTGTTAGTTTCTAACCCTGATCTCATGTTATGGTCATGGCGGCAATAGGAGTTTGTATGCTTCTTTATGTAGGGAGGCCCTTTCCTAGGTTTATGGTACACAGCTGTTTATTTGGTTACTTACTTGTTTGAACAAGCAAAAAAAATAATAAAAACACTTGATGTCTGCTCTATATTTTCAAAAGTCATTGCCTGAGAACCAATTCTTGTATTTTTTTAAGCCTTAGCATGAGGACTTTTGTCATTCCCCCTATGTTGAAAGTTTATGATTTGGGGTGTCCTTTTATTCAAATACTAAAGGAGCAAACCTTGAATTCTCTGCAAAAATCCACTGGTAATGGGTTTGAATCTCAAATAGGGCCACGGATGGCTTAGAAATCTAAGGCGCCACAATTCTTTGTGCAGAGTTGCATCCCTTAGGCACACCAGAAACTTATGATCGTGGATTCAAATTCATCACGATACTGATCCTTAGTTTGTCAGTACAAGTCGCATAATCTTGGGTTTCACCCCCGAAGTGGTAAACGTCTTCATCCTGCATCACTTTGGTCTCACCTCCCACACTTAGCTGATGGGTATTGGTGGTTTAAAGTGTATCACAATATTTTGCAATGCACTAGGCCGTCTTACAATACAGATCAAGATATATTGTATAATTCTAAATTTTTAATTCAGAAACAGTCTGATACATTAAGGTATGAAGTTCATAAATGGAAGAAAGCAAGATGCTGGTCAAACTTAAGGTTTACTCATTCAATAAATACGCAGCCATCTTCGGGCCCCGGATGCTCGCTCCTGGGCAGCGAAGGCATTTGGCAAGTATATAACATTAAAAAAATCCCAAGTTGAAATCACCCGATATATTGAGCATGAGTGAGTGAGTGAGTTGGGTTTAACGCTGCTTTTAACAGTATTCCAGTTATATCGCAGCGTGTCAGCTTAATGTGGGATGAAAGCCTGAAGTGATGCAGGTCTCAGACGTTTACCACTTCGGTGAATCCCACGAGCACGGGCATGGTGCTGACAAACCTAGAAACATAATTGGGGCGAACCGGGATTCGAACCCACAATCATAGGTTTCTGGCGTGCCCAAGGGACGCAACTCTGCACAGCGAATCGCGGCGCCTTAGACGACACGGCCACCCGTGCCCCCATATTGAGCATGAAAAAATGATATTGTGATAAGTATTGTGGAAAGAATGAACCTCAATTTACCGAAATACCAGTAAAACCTCACACCCTTATGACACGCCATGATGTAACAAGGGTATATATTGTTAAAAGCGGTACTAAACTCAACCCACGCCCTTCCTCCCTGTCTGCAGAGTCCCCAGGTGCGTCTGCTCTCAAGATCTGCAGGATGGACAAGTATGGTGGTTGTTGCACGGGCAATGAGGAGGTGTTCCTCCTGTGTGAGAAGGTCCAGAAAGGTGGGTTCTTTCTTCTCAACTCGTTCAGTGAGAAGATACTTCCGCTGATATAAGTATGACAGTATGACAGCAGTATTGCCACTTTTTGTAACTGCAGTTGTACAGTATTGTAAAAGTATGATTCACACCATGACTGAGATGAAAGACAAGAAAACTTTCACTTTCTTAAAGCAAATACTTTATTTTCATGGAGCAAACAATCATTGTTTGATTTATGTTTGAATTGATGTATGTTTCAAATATTTCATAAAATAATATTCTTTCAGCTCTGGGTCCTGTACCTCAAAACGATCTTAGCGAAAAGATGATCTGAACTCTGATACTTTGATACAGCCTTATCATAGTCATAGTGCTAACTTCACTTTGTGGAATTGGTTGCAGAAAAATTGACAATCGTAGACCAGTCCCGTGAAATGACTCTGAGCATTTGATGAGCATCACAGTTATGAGATATTGTATCGGTCGTGTATCTGCCTTCACACAGTCTAGGTAGACACTTTATTAGGTATTACACTCTTGATAGGTGAGAGGGGCGGTCGGGTAGCCTAGTGGTTAAAGCGTTAGCTCGTCACGCCGAAGACCCGGGTTCGATTCCCGACATGGGTACAATGTGTGAAGCCCATTTCTGGTGTCCCCCGCCGTGATATTGCTGGAATATTGCTAAAAGCGGCGTAAAACCTCACTCACTCACTGATAGGTGAGAACCAGAGATTAATATGTGACATCTTATGAATGAGGGGAGATAACTGTTGGATGCTTTTGCAGATGATATCTCGGTGAGGTTCGTGGAGCACAGTAAGGATGGGTCGGTGTTGTGGGAGGCGTTCGGTAACTTCAGCCCCCTCGATGTCCACAGACAGGTGAGAAACTTGGATTTACTCAGTGTGCATACTGGCTTTTATGTTTAATCATTTAAATAAATATGCCAACAACATGTATGGAACAGTTTTCTCTGTAGGATTGACATTTCCCTTGTTTATATTCTATCTTTATTAGAATGACAATGAGTAATTTATAGAATAACCAACTTGAAACTCGGGAATAGCAATAGCTGTCCCACATAAATGAATGCTGTATATCAAAATGCTCTGGGATTACTCCATTCTAAATGCTCTTGGATTACTCCATTCTAAATGCTCTTGGATTACTCCATTCTAAATGCTCTGGGATTACTCCATTCTAAATGCTCTGGGATTACTCCATTCTAAATGCTCTAGGATTACTCCATTCTAAATGCTCTGGGATTACTCCATTCTAAATGCTCTTGGATTACTCCATTCTAAATGCTCTGGGATTACTCCATTCTAAATGCTCTGGGATTACTCCATTCTAAATGCTCTGGGATTACTCCATTCTAAATGCTCTAGGATTACTCCATTCTAAATGCTCTAGGATTACTCCATTCTAAATGCTCTGGGATTACTCCATTCTAAATGCTCTGGGATTACTCCATTCTAAATGCTCTGGGATTACTCCATTCTAAATGCTCTGGGATTACTCCATTCTAAATGCTCTGGGATTACTCCATTCTAAATGCTCTGGGATTACTCCATTTTAAATGCTCTGGGATTACTCCATTCTAAATGCTCTGGGATTACTCCATTCTAAATGCTCTGGGATTACTCCATTCTAAATGCTCTGGGATTACTCCATTCTAAATGCTCTGGGATTACTCCATTTTAAATGCTCTGGGATTACTCCATTCTAAATGCTCTGGGATTACTCCATTCTAAATGCTCTGGGATTACTCCATTCTAAATGCTCTGGGATTACTCCATTCTAAATGCTCTGGGATTACTCCATTCTAAATGCTCTAGGATTACTCCATTCTAAATGCTCTGGGATTACTCCATTTTAAATGCTCTGGGATTACTCCATTTTAAATGCTCTGGGATTACTCCATTCTAAATGCTCTGGGATTACTCCATTCTAAATGCTCTGGGATTACTCCATTTTAAATGCTTGGGACAGATAATCTGTAATCAAAAGTTTTATATATATAATTATGTAAAATGTCATCCATAAAAAGAAACTTGTTTAGTCATTCAACTGTCTGGAAATAACAGAATGTTTTCGAATTATTGACACCATGAACATCTCAGCAGTACAGCATTACAATGTCACATTGCTTACACTGACCAATCAGCTTCAGGATAGTTAAAAGTACTTGTGCAAATATTGCAAAGTTCTTTGCTGGAGACAAATATCATGAGAACACCTAATGATTTTTTTGCAAATTTTGATAGGAAGTTCTACGTCATAACCAAAATTAAAACATTTCTTTATACTTTTATGAATGACAATCATAATTACTTCCCACTTCAGTATGCGATCGTGTTCCGCACACCTCCGTATCGGAACACGTCCATCGACAAGGCCGTCAACGTGATGATAATGCTGCAGAGGAAGAGTGACCAGGAGACAAGTGAGGCCAAGGCCTTCACATACTATCCCCGCAATCTCGGTAGGTGTTCCAAGGCCTTCACATACTACCCCAACAATCCCGGTAGGTGAACCAAGGCCTTCACATACAACCCCCGCAATCTCAGTAGGTGAACCAAGGCCTTCACATACTACCCCCACAATCCCGGTAGGTGAACCAAGGCCTTCACATACTACCCCCACAATCTCAGTAGGTGAACCAAGGCCTTCACATACTACCCCCACAATCCCGGTAGGTGAACCAAGGCCTTCACATACAACCCCCGCAATCTCAGTAGGTGAACCAAGGCCTTCACATACTACCCCCACAATCTCAGTAGGTGAACCAAGGCCTTCACATACTACCCCCACAATCTCAGTAGTTGAACCAAGGCCTTCACATAATACCCCCACAATCCCGGTAGGTGGGTCAAGGCCTTCACATAATACCCCCACAATCCCGGTAGGTGAACCAAGGCCTTCACATACAACCCCCGCAATCTCAGTAGGTGAACCAAGGCCTTCACATACTACCCCCACAATCTCAGTAGGTGAACCAAGGCCTTCACATACTACCCCCACAATCTCAGTAGTTGAACCAAGGCCTTCACATAATACCCCCACAATCCCGGTAGGTGGGTCAAGGCCTTCACATAATACCCCCACAATCCCGGTAGGTGAACCAAGGCCTTCACATACAACCCCCGCAATCTCAGTAGGTGAACCAAGGCCTTCACATACTACCCCCACAATCTCGGTAGGTGAAACAAGACCTTCACATACTACCCCCACAATCTCGGTAGGTGAACCAAGGCCTTCACATAATACCCCCACAATCCCGGTAGGTGAACCAAGGCCTTCCCATACTACCCCCACAATCTCGGTAGGTGAACCAAGGCCTTCACATAATACCCCCACAATCCCGGTAGGTGAACCAAGGCCTTCACATACAACCCCCGCAATCTCAGTAGGTGAACCAAGGCCTTCACATAATACCCCCACAATCCCAGTAGGTGAACCAAGGCCTTCACATAATACCCCCACAATCCCGGTAGGTGAACCAAGGCCTTCACATACAACCCCCACAATCTCCGTAGGTGAACCAAGGCCTTCACATAATACCCCCACAATCTCGGTAGGTGAACCAAGGCCTTCACATAATACCCCCAAAATCCCGGTAGGTGAACCAAGGCCTTCACATACAACCCCCGCAATCTCAGTAGGTGAACCAAGGCCTTCACATACTACCCCCACAATCTCGGTAGGTTGGCTAAGGCCTTCACATACTACCCCCGCAATCTCGGTAGGTGGGCCAAGGCCTTCACATACAACCCCCACAATCTCGGTAGGTGGGTCAAGGCCATCACATACTACCCCCACAATCTCGGTAGGTGAACCAAGGCCTTCACATACTACCCCCACAATCTTGGTAGGTGAACCAAGGCCTTCACATACAACCCCTGCAATCTCGGTAGGTAAACCAAGGCCTTCACATAATACCCCCACAATCTCGGTAGGTTGGCTAAGGCCTTCACATACTACCCCCACAATCCCAGTAGGTGAACCAAGGCCTTCACATACTTCCCCCACAATCTCGGTAGGTGAACCAAGGCCTTCACATACTACCCCCGCAATCTTGGTAGGTGAACCAAGGCCTTCACATAATACCTCCACAATCTCGGTAGGTTGGCTAAGGCCTTCACATACTACCCCCACAATCTCGGTAGGTGAACCAAGGCCTTCACATACAACCCCCACAATCTCGGTAGGTGAACCAAGGCCTTCACATACTACCCCCGCAATCTCGGTAGGTGGGCCAAGGCCTTCACATACTACCCCCACAATCTCGGTATGTGAACCAAGGCCTTCACATACTACCCCCACAATCTCGGTAGGTGGGTCAAGGCCATCACATAATACCCCCACAATCTCGGTAGGTGGGCCAAGGCCTTCACATACAACCCCCACAATCCCGGTAGGTGGGCCAAGGCCTTCACATACAACCCCCACAATCTCGGCAGGTGCCCCATATTGCCTGTATCTCAGCAGGTTCCCCATATTGTCTGTATGTAGGTTGGTGCCCCATATTGTCTGTATGTAGGTTGGTGCCCCATATTGTCTGTATGTAGGTTGGTGCCCCATATTGTCTGTATGTAGGTTGGTGCCCTTCATTGTGCCTTGAAAAATATTTTAGTGGCCCAAAACATCCTTTTGTGATTGAATTTAAATGGGGATTAACAAGATTAGTTTTTTTCAGACTGAAAGTGGTACATAAGGTATCTTAACTAATGAGTATTACATTGTTTCCAACACAGTATGTCCTCCAGTGAGACCCTGCAAGAACACTTATGGCTCCATGCTTATGGCTCCACACTTACAGCAACCATTAATAGACAGGGAATGTAATTTGGCCAAAAAACATATGGAGCCTTCAAACAGGAAAAGATAAATACCATAGAACCTTCAAAATGTATATTAGATTTAAGTTTCATTCCCGAGTACTGAAGTCATGGAATATGTTTGTTTGTTTGTTTGTTGTTTAACGCCGCACTCAGCAATATTCCAGCTATATGACGGCGGTCTGTAAATAATCGAGTCTGGACCAGACAATCCAGTGATTAATATCATAAGCATCGATCCACGCAATTGTCAGTGAGCCAGACCATCCGATCCTGTTAGTCTCATGGAATATGTATGATGTTCACATGTATGAAGGTCACATGTTTGTTGCATTTGATTGGTTCTCTCCACAGACAAAGATGGAATAGCCAGGAAGAAGAGGAAGGCCATGCCATCACTGGATGGTTTTGGGGGGGCATATTTTGGGGGTGCAGGGGGATCGTTTGGCAGCTCGAGGGGTGGGGGAGGTTTCGGTGGGTCTGATGGCGGTGGGGGTGGGGGTGGAGGACAAGTCCCCCACAGGGTTCTACTGCCCAATGGAAGTAAGTACAGTCAAAAGTTATGTTGTACAAATCTCAAGATCTGATAAACTAATTCTTGTATTTCCAGAATATATTATGAATTAAAACTGTATGCAGTTTGTGAAGAAGTTTAGGTTTATTTGCTGTGTGTATTATTAATGTAGTGCATTGACACACATCTTTGTTTGAGTTGATCAGTTAGCAAATTTGGCTGAAAACAACACAGAATAACTTGTTTCCATGCAGCTTGAGAGGCAGTGGGACAGCCTAGTGGTTTAACCATTGGCGCCTACCTGGGTTGGGTTCTGAGATGGGTGCAGGGGCACAGGTGGCCCAGTCGTCTAAGACGCCGCGATTCGCTGTGCAGAGTTGCGTCCCTTGGGCACGCCAGAAACCTATGATTGTGGGTTCGAATCCCGGTTCGCCTCGATTATGTTTCTAGGTTTGTCAGCACCATACCCGTGCTCGTGGGTTTCACCGAAGTGGTAAACGTCTGAGACCTGCATCACTTCGGGCTTTCCTCCCACATTAAGCTGACACGCAGCGATATAACTGTTAAAAGCAGTGTTAAACCCAACTAACTCACTCACTGAGATGGGTGCAATGTATGAACCCATTCTGGGTATACCCTGCCATTATGTTGATGGAATAGTGCTGTAATCATACCCATTCTCTCACACATACCTCCTGAAAAGAATTGTATCTTTTATTTTAATCTATGCAATTCTGCTTCTTGAATGTTCGAATTTTCATTTTGTGTCTTTGATATTTGTAGGCGTGGTTTATCAAGAAGGAAATGTTCCTGCCACGATTGAACAAGGTAGGTAGGGGTCAGGTCACACACACCATTCTACCTCTGTTGTGGGTAGTGCAGTCTGTATTATTTAGTGCACTCTGTCACACTCACACTCACTAGCCCGTCTGCCTGCCTGCCTGCCTGTCTGCCTTCACTCACTCACTCACACACTCCCACCCACCCACCCACTTTCTCACCCACTCACACACACCCACCCACTTTCTCACCCACTCACTCACTCACTCACTCACTCACTCACTCACTCACTCACTCACTCACTCACTCACTCATCCACTCACTCACTCACTCACTCACTCACTCACTCACTCACCCACTCCCACTCACTCACTCACTCACTCACTCATCTGTTCGGGATCTGGGTCACAGTAGGTCCCCAGTACCTCACACTTGTCACAAGAGCTGCCAAAAACAGAAACATCCTCCACACGACATTCCACGTTGCCCTTTCAGCATCACTGATAAATAAAACTCAGATGTTTTTGATTAAATATGTTCCTATGATAATTATTTGTTTAGATGTATGCGATATTGTGTTTTGTAAGTTCCATTGCCCTGGTTCATATGTTTGAATGAGACATCATAGCTAAGAAGGTGTAGTGAGATGTGCAATGTTACTTATATTGAAGAAATCACATGATATACATCAGTGACAGGTATTGGCACATTCAGAGAAGACTTTCCTCTGTATTTTTTTTTTTAAGATAACTTTTTTTATCATTATTTGATATCTTTACTAGTAATTCTAAGCTGGGTTGATGGGGCAGCCGAGAGGTTTAAGTGTTCACTCGTCAAGCCGAAGACCCGGGTTCGATTCCCCACATGAGTACTACTGTGTGAAGCCCACTTCTGGTGTACCCCACCGTGATATTGCTGGAGTAAAACCTCACTCACTCACTCACTCACTCACTCACTCACTCACTCACCCGCTGGAATATTGCTAAAAGTGGCGTAAAACCTCACTCACTCACTCACTCACTCCAAGCTTTTGAACTTTTTTGTACAAATATGACATTGACAAACACTTGATATCTTTAGTTTTTGGAATTGCAGCCATACAAGAGTGCTACGACAGCCCAGTCAACAGTCCGTACCGCACTGACCTGGATGAACTGGACAGTCCCTATGCCGATCTGTCAATGGACTGTGAGCCTATAAAGCACATGTCTCGTAGCATGAATATCACAGGTGCTAGTAATCCTCCTTCACTCAAACACAAGGGACAAATCAGAGGAACCATTAAAGAAACAGACGTCCATGATGCAACAGCCAAGATGGCCGCGGTGAAGCTGAGTGACAAGCCTACGAGTCCTGGCAGTGAGCCCATGGAGAAGGGGTCGGAGGATGTGAAGGACAGCGAGGTCAAGGACTCTGGATCGGACACAAGCAGTTCTAATGCACCAACAGAGGGAGCACGTACTGATGAGGGATTCTCAGAGTCATCCTCCATTCCTGGAGATTTGTCTCCGAAGAAGGCGCCCGACGGTGATGACAAGTCTGCCTCAAAGAAAGACCCCAAGCAAGGTTGGTAAATACATCTATGCAATTGCATGAGATAAGCAGCAAGCATTTGATGCTGAAGACATGTTCTCTACCTGGATCTTCACATGACAAAATTAGTATTAATTTATGCAAAAAAGATTTTAAATAGCCTACATAATTTTTTGGTATATATGTTTAACCTTCCGAGATAACTGGTAATGATTATAACTGGTTAGCATAAAAAAAATTGAAACACACTTTATAATATATTTTCTTAAACAATTGAAGACTGCATTTCTACTTTGAAAATGTCCTATACTCTTCATGAAAATGCAGCCATCATTCATGCTTTGTATGAATATACCTTTTCTTGAGGACAATTGCATTATTTTTGGACTTTATTTTTTAAATTTAATAATTATTTGAATTTGCATCAGTGTATTAAAGAAATGTAACATGTTTAAAAATTACTTGGTTTCACTTCAAAACATTCAACAAAGAACATTAACTTCAAATATCAGTAAAATTTATATTATCAATCTCCTAGTGTCTGGTAGTATGGCTTTAGCACAAGGCAGCAGGTTTATCACATCCCCTCCACTGAGGTTGTGTGTGAGCTTCTGCACCCTGGTTGTTTTTCAAACCAATCAAATTACAATTACAATGTGTTCAGTTCCAGGCAAGATTGAGTTGAGCAAGAAGAAAGATGAAGCTATCCGCATGGCTCAACGTACAGCTGTTGCCCTCCGAGAGTACGCAGAGACCGGGGATATCCGCTATCTGCTGCTGGTACAGCGCCATCTAGCATCCATACAAAATGAAAATGGAGATCTGTAAGCATTGTCTGTTTCATGAAAATCAAATTAACAAGTTAAGCTTCTTTCCAAGCATAATGTCCTTTACATTATTAGTTGAGACTTGCATGAAGCTTTTGAATATAAAAAACAGTTTGTGCAATTATTTTGAAAAAGGGAAAAAAATTAAGAGTGTCTAAACAAATTTCAAAGATTGAAACTGAAGATTTGCATTTTTTTATATTTGGCTTTTTTTTCATAACAAATACAGCAAAAATACATGATTGCATTGTAACCCTTTAATCATACTTTGGAGGGGGATGAAATAGCTGAAAACTTGGTTCCTAAGAGGGAAAAACATTTTTACAATGTCAATAGAAATTTCAAAGATTGGTATTGAAAGAATGAAAAATGTTTTAATTTGGTTTTCATTACAATTCAGCAAAAATTGCAAATTGCTGGAAAGGTGTCAGGTGTTAATTGTTACTACCAGCTTTATGGATCCACCGACCCTGCAAATCAAGAATGTGAATCTATTTCGACATTTAGTTTAAGGCTTTCTTAATTAATGCCAAGTCTTAGATTCACACTTATGAATATAAAATTATTGTTCTGTTGCCTTAGACAACTGAAAAACAAGCTCAACTTCTTATTATTCCAAACAGTGTCTCACTGTAGATTTGTTCACATGCTTTAATAAAATGAATATTCATGTTACATTTCACAAGAACGCCAGAAAGAAAATAGCAAATTTGAAATGTACTTTCTTGTCATCCTACCGGCCCTACATTCTTACAACAACAACAACAAATAATCAACCAATGCCCAACAACAACAATCAACCAATGCCCCAAAACAACAACAAATAATCAACCAATGCCCCAAAACAACAACGACAAATAATCGACCAATGCCCCAAAACAACAACAACAAATAATTGACCAATGCCCCCAAACAACAACAACAACAAATAATCGACCAATGCCCAACAACAACAACAACAAATAATCGACCAATGCCCCAAAGCAACAACAAATAATTCACCAATGCCCAACAACAACAACAACAACAGATAATCGACCAATGCCCCAAAACAACAACAACAAATAATTGACCAATGCCCCAAAACAACAACAACAAATAATCGACCAATGCCCAACAACAACAACAACAAATAATTGACCAATGCCCCCAAACAACAACAACAACAACAAATAATCTACCAATGCCCCAAAACAACAACAAAGAATCGACCAATGCCCAACAACAACAACAACAACAAAGAATCGACCAATGCCCAACACCTTTGAGCAAACAATCTTAAAACAAAATTTAAAAAATGGAAGTCCTAAATAAATACCTATTTTGAAGCTAACTGCTCCTTCCTGTACCTGTCCAGCCCAATCCACCTGGCAGTCATCAACAACCAGGTGATAGCCTTGCAGTACCTGCTGGACGTCATGGGAACGCTCCCCAAGGCCAGGTCAAGGGTCAACGCCTTCAACCTTCTCCGACAGGTCAGTTGCAACATCAGCGTCTGGTTCCCTACGTGCATGTGCCACAAGTCTCGTCAACCCGTAGCTTTCTGATATTTCAGTGTAGCAGAAATAATTTTGACTTCTGCAGCTTATAACATTCTGACACAACAGTTGGCCCAACATAAAAAATCAGCTTGAATTCATTATTTTCAAAATGACAGTAATTAATGTAAGGAGATCATCCAGTTTATGACCTTAGGGTTAGAAATAACCGAGTTCATAAAAATTGTTTGTGCACAAGTGCAAATATCATTTCACGTGCAACAGGGTATTGTTTACATCCTCTGGACGGCATTGTTGACGTCATTCGAGTCTTATGGTGTCATAGGGTTGGAATGATATCTCACTAGAAAAGACGTCATAGCTGAAGATTATTGACATCATTCGACAATTGTGTTTTTCTAAGACGGCGGTCGTGATCAGTGTATTTGTTTACTAATGGGGAGCTCAAAAAGAGTAAAAAAATAAGTAATAAAGAAATAATTACATGTCTGTCATTCTGATTTATGAAACTCGAGTCATAATTCATGTATTACCCTCGTTCTCGCCTGGGAATACAAGAATTCTGACACTCGTTTCGTAAAGTAATTGTATATTAATCTCTGTGTATTACATCTCAATTCTATATTTAATAATACACACCATTTGCCACAACAGCTTCATTTTCAGCATGATTTGTATGGCACAGCACAAAAAATATGTATCCAATCAAATCCCTGTCATGAACGAGAAGCATTCTGAGTTAAGTTGGTGGTATGTGAGATGGAGATATGAATATCACTTCAAGAGAAACTATGCTCGCAAATAGGTCCAGGGTGTTTGTCCTAATAGAATGGAGATATAAGTTATAACACACCTGGTAGATAGGTCCAGGGTGTTTGTCCTAATAGAATGGAGATAAAAGTTATAACACACCTGGTAGATAGGTCCAGGGTCTTTGTCCTAATAGAATGGAGATAAAAGTTATAACACACCTGGTAGATAGGTCCAGGGTGTTTGTCCTAATAGAATGGAGATATAAGTTATAACACACCTGGTAGATAGGTCCAAGGTGTTGGTCCTCATAGAATGGAGATATAAGTTATAACACACCTGGTAGATAGGTCCAAGGTGTTGGTCCTCATAGAATGGAGATATAAGTTATAACACACCTGGTAGATAGGTCCAAGGTGTTTGTCCTAATAGAATGGAGATATAACACACCTGGTAGTCAAGGGTGTACATGCCTGTGCACAAAGCCACATCATAATGAAGAAGGAAATAGCTTTTAACCATGTGTGTGAATTCTTTTTTATCCAGATGACATTTGTAATTGGACATATTTTCCTGAATTTCCTAAATCATTTTGCCAGTACTTATCAGTTTTTGTACTGTATTTAAACAGAGAGTTACTTATGTTACACTGAAACCATTGAATGTTTTTGGCAAAGGTATAAGTAATGTTTGCTCAACAACTGTTCTTACTCCTGTTTTTTAACATGCGTTTAGACTTTCATTAATTATAGTAATGACATACCTCTACTATATCGGACCATTTTATGTTAATTATTGTTTTGGAAACCCTAGTGATAACATTATAGCTGTGTTCAAAAAGGCAAATACATTACGTCCGTTTAAGTTAGATTCACAGGAACTGTCAGAATATTTTCATCAGTTGTTGTAAATTCTTGCTTATGTAATCCTACATTTATCTTGATATTTATTCATAATGTGGACTAATGCATTTTAAAGAAAAAATGGCAGTTGCTTAATTAATCATTTGACTAATTATTGTTCTCTCCCCACAGACTGCACTCCATCTAGCCGTCATCACAAAACAGAAGAACGTCATTGAGATTCTTCTCCACTCCGGGGGCGACCCCACCTTCTCCGATCGCCATGGCAACACACCGGCACACCTGGCTGTGTTGGGTGCAAGTGTAGACTGTCTTCAGTCTCTTGTCAGATATATACAGCCAACAGCAAATCAGAACAAGCCGTTCCCGGAGTTGGATTATCTGAATTTTGAGGGTACAGCTGTTTATTTACCACATCATAGTGCTATTTTTGGGCTATATAATAGTGCTATATATTTGCCATATCATAGTGCTATTTATTGGCCATCTCATGGTGCTATTTACTTACAAGCAGATTGTGTTAAGTATGTAGAAACATTTTCTGGTAACTCAAAATAAGTGAGTTCCCGACTGTTTTTTTTAACAGAAGTCTTCAAAAACAGTTGGTTTTTCAAAACAATTGCAAAATATTTTCTGCAAGCCATTGGCTGGTTGTTTTTTCCTCAAAATAGCAAAAGAAGTCAATTTCGATTCTGAAACAAATCATGGGAAAGGAGGATCATATTTGATTTCATCTATAACACAAGTACTGTCACAGGTAACTCGGGTACACGAGTTGGGTAGGTCCTGAGTAGGACCTGGATACCCATAGGACTACCCGGACCCATAGTTAGTCATGTGATACATTGTTTAATGACAATAACAATAAGATTCCATGGTTACACTAGTAGTCTTTCTGACTATGCACAGATTCCCTCTGACTTTTATTTGTTTGAGTAAAGACAAGGCTTCAGTCAATTTCAGTATATGCATGATCTGATTGGTTTATACTATATCTAAATACTTTTTGCCAGTGCTCCGGTAAAACTATTCCCAAATGAACATTTGTTCCAATCTTGAGACCAACAGTGGGTGCCTGGGTAGGGTCGGGTAATAGGGGGCTGGGCACCCGGGTAGTCCAGTTGGACTCATCCCAGCCCTAATAATCCTGCAGTAGGTTTATGAAGAGTTCTGTATTTGGATACTGTGATATTTCATGACATTTACAAATACATATCAGTAATCAGCGTCAGGAAATAACAAGTGTATCTTTCTCATAAGTTGAGTAGTATATTATAAAAACTGAGGAATGATTACAGTTTTGTCTTTAAGGGTATTATAGTGTCCAGGTAATGCAAGTATGAAGCAGTTTTCTGTTCCCGCCCATAACGTTCTCTCCCAACTTGTCTGCAGGGTATGCTCCCGCCCATCTGGCAGCTCGATGCGGCAACGTGGAGATGCTGAAGACGCTGGTGTATGGTCAGGCGGACATGAATCTCCAGGACGGCAAGAGCGGTCGTACTCCACTCCACCATGCTGTTGAGGTTGACGACCTTCCAACAGCAGGATATCTTCTCATGGAGGTCAGTTGTAAGATGATGATGAATATGAATATACACATGCTGTGGTTAATGCATTAATACTACTGCTCAGTGATTGCACATGTTTTCAGACTAGGAGTAGAGGACAAGCACAACCAGTGTTCTTTCTCATATACCAAAGGGTTTTTTCATGGGTACCCAGTATTTATACAGCTAGCTGGACAAACAGATGTGAGAAGTGTCCAGTGTGAATTGTGACATTAACAGTCACAGCAACAGTGACAGTAACACTGACAGCCAGCAACAGTAAAAATGACAGTGACAGCAACACTGGCAGCCAGCAACAGTAAAAATGACAGTGACAGCAACTCTGGCAGCCAGCAACAGTAAAAATGACAGTGACAGCAACACTGGCAGCCAGCAACAGCAACAATGACAGCAACAGTGACACTGACAGTGACAGCAACAGCAACATTGACACTGACAGTGACAACAACACTATCAGCAACAGTGACAGCCAGCAACAGCAACATTGACACTGACAGTGACAACAACACTATCAGCAACAGTGACAGCCAGCAACAGCAACAAGGACAGCAACATTGACAGTGACAGTGACAGCAACACAATCAGCAACAGTGACAGTGACAGTGACATCAACAGTGACAGCCAGCAACAGCAACAATGACAGTGACAGCAACACTGACAGCCAGCATCAGCAACAATGACAGTGACAGTAACACTGACAGCCAGCAACAGCAACAATGACAGTGACAGTAACACTGACAGCCAGCAACAGCAACAATGACAGTGACAGTAACACTGACAGCCAGCAACAGTAAAAATGACAGTGACAGTAACACTGACAGCCAGCAACAGCAACAATGACAGTGACAGCAACACTGACAGCCAGCAACAGCAACAATGACAGCCAGCAACAGTAAAAATGACAGTGACAGCAACACTGACAGCCAGCAACAGCAACAATGACAGTGACAGCAACACTGACAGCCAGCAACAGCAACAATGACAGTGACAGCAACACTGACAGCCAGCAACAGCAACAATGACAGTGACAGCAACACTGACAGCCAGCAACAGTAAAAATGACAGTGACAGCAACACTGACAGCCAGCAACAATGACAGTGACAGCAACACTGACAGCCAGCAACAGCAACAATGACAGTGACAGTAACACTGACAGCCAGCAACAGCAACAATGACAGTGACAGCAGCACTGACAGCCAGCAACAGCAACAATGACAGTGACAGCAACACTGACAGCCAGCATCAGTAAAAATGACAGTGACAGCAACACTGACAGCCAGCAACAATGACACTGACAGTGACAGCAGCACTGACAGCCAGCAACAGCAACAATGACAGTGACAGCAACACTGACAGCCAGCAACAGCAACAATGACAGCCAGCAACAGCAACAATGACAGTGACAGCAGCACTGACAGCCAGCAACAGCAACAATGACAGTGACAGCAACACTGACAGCCAGCATCAGTAAAAATGACAGTGACAGCAACACTGACAGCCAGCATCAGTAAAAATGACAGTGACAGCAACTCTGGCAGCCAGCAACAGTAAACATGACAGTGACAGCAACTCTGGCAGCCAGCAACAGCAACAATGACAGCAACATTGACACTGACAGTGACAACAACACTATCAGCAACAGTGACAGCCAGCAACAGCAACATTGACAGTGACAGCAACACTGACAGCCAGCAACAGTAAAAATGACAGTGACAGCAACTCCGGCAGCCAGCAACAGCAACAATGACAGCAACATTGACACTGACAGTGACAACAACACTATCAGCAACAGTGACAGCCAGCAACAGCAACAAGGACAGCAACATTGACAGTGACAGTGACAGCAACACAATCAGCAACAGTGACAGCCAGCAACAGCAACATTGACAGTGACAGCAACAGTGACAGCCAGCAACAGCAACATTGACAGTGACAGTGACAGCAACACTATCAGCAACAGTGACAGCCAGCAACAGCAACAATGACAGCAACATTGATAGTGACAGTGACAGCAACACAATCAGCAACAGTGACAGCCAGCAACAGCAACAATGACAGCAACATTGATAGTGACAGTGACATCAACAGTGACAGCCAGCAACAGCAACAATGACATTGACAGCGACACTGACAGCCAGCAACAATGACACTGACAGCCAGCAACAGCAACAATGATTCTGACAGTGACACTGACAGCCAGCAACAGCAACAATGACAGTGACCTCGACACTGACAGCCAGCAACAATGACACTGACAACCAGCAACAGCAACAATGATTCTGACAGTGACACTGACAGCCAGCAACAGCAACAATGACAGTGACCTCGACACTGACAGCCAGCAACAGCAACGATGACAGCAACAGCAACAATGACAGTGACAGCAACACTGACAGCCAGCAACAGCAACGATGACAGCAACAGCAACAATGACAGTGACAGCAACACTGACAGCCAGCAACAGCATCAATGACAGCCAGCAACAGCTACCCTGACAGCAACAGGAACAGTGACTGTGAGTGACACTGACAGCAACAGTGACAACGACACTGACAGCCAGCTGCTGTGTATATGCTGTTACACTGACAGCAACACTGTCAGCGACCAAGACAGCCGCACTGACACTGACAACAACAATCAAGATGTGTGCCATGATTAAAAACATTTTGCAAATCTTTCCACATGTACTTCTGTTCATTGTCAGTGTTCAAAGTACATATAGTGTTCAAACTATCTGCAATTCCAGACTGATGCCGACGTCAATGCACGCTGTTTTGATGGGAACACTGCACTACACATTGCATGTGGGCGTGGGCTGGTGGGGATGGTGGCGCTGCTGATGACGGCTGGTGCTGATCCCAACATCGAGAATGAGGAGATCCCCCCATTGGGAGAGGATGGGGATGATGCGGAGGATAACAGTCTGGACTCCTGGGGAGAGAGGCACGGCATGAGGCCTGCGGACTACACTCAGGAGAATGAGAGGGTGGGTATAGCACATAGGTGAATACAGCATAGATATATATATAGCACATGTGACATATACATGTATGTGAATACAGGTCGGGTATATAACATATAGGTGAATACAGGGTAGGGTATATTGCACATGTTACACAACAGTGAATACAGGGTAGGGCATAAAGCACATGTGACATATACATGTATGTGAATACAGGTAGGGTATATAACACATAGGTGAATACAGGGTATGGTATATAGCACATGTTACACAATGGTGAATACAGGGTAGGGTATATAGCACATGTGACATATACATGTATGTGAATAGAGGTAGGGTATATAACACATAGGTGAATACAGGGTATGGTATATAGCACATATTGCACATAGGTGAATACAGAGTGGGGTATATATCATATCTTACACATAGGTGAATACAGGGTATGGTATATAGCACATGTTACACAATGGTGAATACAGGGTATGGTATATAGCACATGTGACATATACATGTATGTGAATACAGGTAGGGTATATAACACATAGGTGAATACAGGGTATGGTATATAGCACATATTGCACATAGGTGAATACAGGGTAGGGTATATATATCACATCTTGCACATAGTTGAATACAGCATAGATATATAGCACATGTGACATATACATGTATGGGAATACAGGGTGGGGTATATATCACATAGGTAAATACAGGGTATGATTTATAGCACATGTTGCACATTGGTGAATATAGGGTATGGTATGTATCATATCTTGCACATCGGTGAATACAGGGTAGGGTATATAGCATATGTGACATATCATGTATGTGAATTTCAGGGTAGGGTATGTAGTACATAGGTGAATACGGGGTATGGTACATAGCACATGTTGCACATCGGTGAATACAGGGTATGGTATGTATCATATCTTGCACAACGGTGTATACAGGGTAGGGTATATAGCACGCGTGACATATCATGTATAGGATATTTCAGGGTAGGGTATATAGCACATACATAATACAGGGTATGGTATGTATCATATCTTGCACAACGGTGAATACAGGGTAGGGTATATAGCACACGTGACATATCATGTATGTGAATTTCAGGGTAGGGTATGTAGTACATAGGTGAATACAAGTGAGGTATAACATACACATTGGTGAATACAGAGAAGGGTATAGAATATATAACAGATGAGTACAGGGTAACTGGCCCCTTGCTTCTGAAAGGAATCCAATCATGTTATGTTGTTTAATAAAGGAACATATTTTAAGCGAATGCATACTGAGCCATTCCTGTATTCATGCAACCTAGATCCTGAGCATCCTGCAAGGTGAAATATACACCCCACAAGATCCCTATGGTGGTTTTCATGACCTTGACCTTCAGGAGGACTCGGTGCCCTCGGACAACCGGGAGACCACGGAGATAACGTCCATTTACTCGTGCCGTAACGAGAGTGGAGTGGACAGTATGAACTTTAAACTGTTTCAGCAAGGTAAACAACAGCCACATCACAAAGAGAAAATTTTGCTGCTTATGGAGAAAAACTAATTTAAGCTGGGCCAGATTCTGACCTATTAAAATAATGCACTCAGTATCAACAAGTCATTATTTCAGTCTTAGGTCATAATGTATCTTACTCTGGCAATGCTCATCCTACCACACGCTTACTCACTTACAGTATCACACTGCTGTACAGAGTTGTGTCCCTTAGTCATGCCAGGATCTGCTAGTTGTGGGTTTGATTCCAAGATTTGCCTAGAATGTATGTTCTCCTGTCCGTACCAAAATACCGATGAAAGTCCTTTGGTGCTTGATCCTTCTCTAATGCTGGGGCATCTCTATGGAACTCCCTTCCCTTCAGCCTCAAAGGTGCACCTAGTGTCATTGTGTTTCAGCAGAGACCATATTATATGGTCTCTGGTTTAAGTCTGGACTCAAAACATACCTTTTGAACGCTACAACTGAATTTGTATATTTTTACTATCTTACTGTCCCCTCTCTGTTGTATATATGTACATATGCTGAACTTTCATATTGAGCATGTCCCTCAGTGATGTGGATTTTGCCCTATACAAATAGCCTTATCATTATTAGAACAAGATCCTTCTTTAAGATTATTCACCATCCAAAGTTTATGGCTGTCGATTTGGGCTTTCCTCCCACATTAAGTTGGCACATGGCAATATTACTGAAATACTTTCAAATGGCATTAGAAGTCATTCACTCATTTGTATGAAGATTGAATATATGTCATTTTTGGCACTATCGGCTGAACAAGTCAACATGTAAAACACACACACCTCTGTGACCTAGGTGACCTTGAGAAGCTGGATTTCCTGACACGAATCGAGTTGGCGAAGTTGCTTGACCCAATGCAGCCTGGCCGTGACGTTTTCTCCCTGGCCGAGAGGCTGGACTACTTCAACCTCCACAACGCCCTGGAGGCCATGAAGGGACAGTCCAGCCCCACCCGCTTCCTGCTCGACTACTTCGAGGTAGGTCAGGCTGTTATTGTTGATGAGTGAAGAGTCTTTTGCTGTGGGATGCTTCATAAACTTGATTGTGTTCTGAAAAATATTCTTTGTTTGTGACCTAGCTGATTGTGTGTCATTGTACTCCAGGGTTCACTCTCAGAATTTCCTGACATGGGCCCCTTATGTGAAAATTTCAAATATTCCAGAGGTACACCCACACAGCACAATGTTAAAATGCCCCATTGTATTTGAAAATGTGGGCCTAAAAGGGTCTAAAAGCCCAAAGCCCTACCCTAGAAGTATCCCTGGTACTCACTCACTCTATCTATTATCAGTGTCCAAAATAACTGCCTGCCCGTCTGCCCGTGGCTGGTAACTTTCTGTTGGGCTGTCTGGAATTTTATTCCACCTCCCCACCTGTCTGGCAGATAAGTTTAAGACTTCTTACATATTTGGTTTTATTATAACTTCTTGTAGATTTTCAAGTAATTGTTTGCTTTATTTCAACTGAATCAAGACGCGATTTGTCTCTTTTTTTTCGCGATTTTTCAATATTTATAATGTTGAATGCGGGCAGTTAAGTTTGAAGATGGGCAAGGAACATTTATGGGTCCCCTACCCGACTGTCTTGTTGGGAAATTATTTCAAATACTGTACATTAGTACTGTTGAACACCATCAGTGTCCAATCTCCTCACATTGATAGCTGATTCATGGAACTTTAAAGTATCGTTGCCACCAGTCACAGCTTCCCACTGCAACCATGCATGGAGTTTAACTTGCAACCGACTCACTATTTTGTTTGCAAAGAAGTGAAGACTGTTTGGATGCTGAATACTCTTCCCCAGTAAGAGAATGTAAGGGGGAAGTTGGATGCTATTCCGTTCGTCTGCAATCTTGTATCAATCTGATTAAATAAACAAACATAAATCCATCTGTTAGTTAGACTAAACCTTTTACAAATTAACTGTTATGGCATTTCAAAAGACATACACAAAGCTATATGTTTTTCGAATGTGAGGAAAATTTTCAAGATTCTTGTAATGGCCGCTTACACACTGGTGGCTGCACCATATCGGAATGGCAATAAAGGTGTCGTGCTGGGAAGGATCAATGTATATATGAAAGGGAGGTAATTTTCTCATATCAGTTATCTCCCTTAACTAGGATACCAATAAGAGTGAGTAAGTATGTTTTTACGCCGCTTTTAGCAATATTCCAGCAATATCACGGCGATACACTGTAGATATCGCTGCAATGAAATTGCATCACAATGCTTTGCAGGCCACTATGACGTCATTGGTTACCATGACGTCACAATCAAATGACATCACTAATGGCTCTGCTACTGAAGCTGTTAGCAGTACTTTTTACATTTAAGACACTGCTTATTACTGTCTTCAAACTGACAAAGTTGAAAGAATGATGTTAGATGATAAATAAAATCTCACCCGAGTGTCTTTTGATATCAAATATATCAACACTCATTGATAAAAGTGGAAAAAAATCCTTGGCAAGCCTCGGAGTTTTCCAACTTTTATCAACTCGTGTTGATATATTTGATATCAAAAGACACTCGGGTGAGATTCTCTATATATGAAAGACATTATACCTGCATGAACATATGGGAATTAGACTACATCCATTGTTCTGTACAGGCATCTGATGGGACAGTGACGAAGTTACGCAGCTCACTGCAAGTGATGGATCGACAGGACGCTGTTACGATCATCGACTCAGCCCTCTCACCAGACAGACCTGGTAGGTACAGAGGAAGAAACTTCCCACTGTATAACTAAGACATAAACACACTGTGTTGGGCAATTTTAGAACCTAGTAGGTTTTTTATCACCATTTCTACCATGATAACAAAAGCACTTCAAAAACACTTGGAATGCATACTTACACATGGGCCAAAAGCCCAGCTATCTCAGAATGTGCAGAAAAGGGGTCAAAGAAAGTGACAATAATAAAAAAATGTTACTCAAGTTCATGATTTTTTACTCATATTCTTGACTAGTTCCAAATAATGGTTACAAAATACACAAATTTTCCAACAGAATTGATGAAATAAACCTTCATAGATGTATATTTGATTTCATCGCAAGCTGTTTCTTGGAAATTAACGTGACGTCTTCCATTGTATTTGTAATGGCGACAGGTTGTAAAAGTAGTGAAAACATTCTCAAATAATTTAGATTGATGTTTTTATAAGCAAGGTTTTTGTGTGACAGGGGATGTTAATTTTGAACTATTCGATACCTGGGGATAGAGACAATTAGATACCTGATTTTGACCAATCAGAATTAAGCATTCTTCAGTATCATGGAAGAACACTAGTGGAAGGGTTCAATGAAGGGAGGGCTTACAGATTCAGTTTGGTATACAAAAAATATATATATATATGAATAAACTCCAAATTCAATTATTATCTTTATTTCCTCAAAATGTAAAGTAAGTAGGGACGAAAAATAATTAGTAAAATAACGGGGGGTGGGGGTTGAGTTTTTAAGCTGAATTTTATATTGATAGTGACTGGTGAATGAGTTTGGGTTTTGTAGCATTTAACTTATTTCTTGTCAGCAGAATAAAAAACAATCTCATTAAAATCAGATCCTAGTTCTCGCTACCGCTAAACAAAGATCTGAGGACATCCCATTAGGGGTCACGTCAGAACGACCTTTCATCCGACAAATCAGTGCGTCGCTTACCAGATTGTGAAAGTGACTGTCGGAATGTGATTTCTAATCATGCAATCTCGAAAACTTTAACATGGAGTATTCCGAACGATAGTTACGGGTTTAACGACTGAATCCTTACGTTCTAGACCATCTATTAGTAATTCCAGAATGTTTTTTGTTCATGTTTCAAATTTGTAATCGAGAATTTGTCAAAATATGTTTCGAAGCGTAGTCGCCAATTTGAAATTTGTGTCGTAAAGCATGAGAATGCTGGTTTCTGATTGGTCATTCCATTGGTCGGTCAAAGTTTGCGCAAGGTCGGTCTGACGTTACCCGTAATGGGATGTCCTCAGATTTTTGTTTAGCGGTAGTGAGAAATAAGGTCTGATTTTAATAAGATTGAATAAAAAAACATTGTTATTTTTTTCAAATTTCAATTATTAGGATTTGTGATCCAAATTTAAAAAGGCCTTAATATGTGATTGTTATACAGGAACTACACAAGAAGTTAGTCCTTCATTATTATTTCAGGTGACAAGACAGCCACAGACACTCGTGTTGACTCGGGGGTGGAGAGTATGGGGGGGAAGGCCCTCCCGTCACGCTGCAACCTCACATCATCATAGAGAATCCATCACAACAAACAGAGGTCAACACATCTTAATTGTCCATAAGTAGATATACCCACAATTAGGAGTTGTAGGACAGGATAGGTAGTGTTCAGTCCTACCCTGTTACATCTCTGTTCTTTGATGTTCTCATTCATCGGGATATTGAAATGAATATTTTACTTTCTTAAAGGCATTCATTTAGATAAAAACTTTTTATCACATTTTATATGTTTTACATTAAATGAACATGCATATGAGACATGCACTTATAGACTTAAGGTGTTTGATACCTGAGAGTTGGAAGTCTTGGCCCCGTTCCACAAAGTGTTCTTAGCGCTATGATTGTCATAAGTCAGTGATAAAGAATGGTAGTTACGATCGACTTAGCGCTAAGATCGCTTTGTGGAACGGGGCCCAGGTTGCTGGCGCTGAGTTCTGCCTGGAATCTCTCTGCAGCCTCTGCCATACATCATTGTTGTTACAAATATACTCATGAATGTCCTCTCGTTGTTACATTTTAGTCTCTCAAGTCATAAAGCCTGTTGGCAGTGTCCTGTGGTACTGGTTTCCATGTTAATTCATTTCTGTTTGTTCCCATATAGCAGATTATTCCAGTACATGTATAATACGTGCTGATATCCCACTCGACCCTCCACACGATTCTTTGAGCACCCTGCGCCCTCCAAGACTGGTGAACACTTTCACCACAGCTGTTCCACTTCATTCTGATAAGGGCGGTCGGGTAGCCTAGTGGTTAAAGTGTTCGCTCGTCACGCAGAAGACCTGGGTTCGATTCCCGACATGGGTACAATTTGTAAAGCCCATTTCTGGTGTCCCCTGCCGTGATTGCTGGAATATTGCTAAAAGCGGCGTAAAACCATACTCACTCACTCACTCATTCTGATAATGATAATAATTTACCACTCAATAGCTCTGAACTGCAGATTATGGAGGGGAAGGACTCCACGCCCTGCTACAAATATAACCCCTGTTAAAAGATCAGTGTGCACTGATATTGCATTCTCAACTCCCTGGAGAGTATGCACTAATGTAGTAAAAAATACCCCAGTGGGGATTACGGGTTCGAATTGGTCCCCAGAAGCCTATGCTGGTTGTAAGAGGCAACCAAATGGATCATGTCGAATCAGTGACTTCGTTGATTGCATGCCATCGTACAACAATGTAGATTGTTGCTCACAATATCGATCATTGGTTTGTTTGGACCAGACGCAATTATTTACAGGCCACTGTCAGATAGCTTCAATATTGCTGAGTGCGGCATTAAACAAGAACAAAACTGAAAAAGACGAGGGAAAATGACAAAAAATAATATGAGTGATCTAACATTATGTTGCTTCAAGACATTGTTCAAAATGTTATTGTATGTTTAGGGATATCAGTATATATGCCACAGCATCACTTCAGCAACCGTGATACAAGAAAATATAAAGTCATTTTTCATCACTGTTCAAACCATTCCTCATCCCTCTCTGATGATCTCCACATCATTATTTGGACATTCAATCTGTTCAGGTTTGGAATATGTATGTGTGGAATGCTAAGATACGCACCTATGTGTAATAATTGTACAAGTGATTGCTTCTGTTGTCATCACATAGGAACACTGAAATCTCTGTCTGTACAGCCCAGGCCCACATGCACAAAGCCATTTTAGCGCTAAGATTATGGTAAGCCTATGTTAATGTATATGGGAGTTATGATCATCTTAGCGCTAAATTCTTTTGTGCAAGTGGGCCCAGGTCATGAGTACAAGATAACAGTTTTTCCCCAAATTAGGCCAGATTTCTTTCAGTGGGGGAGGAGAGGGTTAGCGATTTTTGCCCCCCAAAATCTGTTTGGAAGGTTAATAAAATACCAATTTTAGATATTTTTGTTCTATTTCCACCAAATGTTAAGAAAGTAGGATGGGTTTTTTTCAAAATAAAGTGGGGGTGGGAGTTTTAAAGATATATTTCAACAGGTTTTAATTTATCTATATTGAGAGTGACATTAATTTAGTTTTTGTGATTATTAACATTTTACATATTTCTGGTCCGTGGAATGTATCTAACCCACTGATTTTCATGGGTGGCTTTATTCAAATGTTCATTTGCTGGAGTCAGCAGATTTGTAAACACAGTTTTTGAAAACGTCTGACCTTTTCATTATCATTATTCTATTAATATTTCTTTCTACAAATACTGTGGAACCGTTTACCACAAACAAGAGACGTAGATGATGCTAGTTAGGGCATTATGGCAACTCATATATTATAGGTCATCACTAATTGAGCAAAATGGTCAGAGGGAACAGTGAGCATTGGAAACGAGTTCCTGTAAAAAATGTTTCCTTGTTTCCTAAGAAATACATGGTCGAGATGTCATTGGAAATGTTTCCATGGAATTGTATTTGCGGTTTGACATTGAAACTGTTTCTGTGGAAATATATTTAAGGTTTGACATTAAAACTGTTTCCGTGGATATGTTTGAGGTTTGACATTGGAACTGTTTCCATGGAAATATATTTGAGGTTTGACATTGAAACTGTTTCCGTTGAAATATATCTGAAGTTGACATTGAAACTGTTTCCGTGGATATGTTTGAGGTTTGACATTGGAACTGTTTCCATGGAAATATATTTGAGGTTTGACATTGAAACTGTTTCTGTGGAAATATATCTGAGGTTGACATTGAAACTGTTTCCGTGGAAATATATCTGATGCTTGACATTGTAACTGTTTCCATGGAAATATATTTGAGGTTTGAAATCGAAACTGTTTCCGTGGAAATATATTTGAGGTTTGACATTGAAACTGTTTCCGTGGAAATATATTTGAGGTTTGACATTGGAACTGTTTCCTTGGAAATATATTTGAGGGTTGACATTGTAACTGTTTCCACGGATCAGTAGCTGTATATACTGGTCCTCTATTTACCATAGTGAGAATTTGTTGACCTTGCTATTGATATGTTTGTCCAGACTTAACACTGTCCTGCTTACAAGGTAAATAAAAGTGTTCTTTGATTTTTTACACACTGATTCTTGTGTTAATGTCTCTGTAAAATGTAAATATACAAGTATATCACAAATACATCTGTCCATCCATATATTTAAATTGTATTTGTTTTGAAATCATTATGATTCTTGCCCATCGCACACATAGCTTAGTAGATATGCAGTGGACTTGACAGCTTGATTACACCTGACTGGCGTAAAACAACATTCACTCAGGAGCATGGACAACATCCATTCAGTGACTGCAGTACACGGCAATACAAATACCATATTCGACGTAATAAGCGCCCAGGGCGCTCTCAAAATTAGAAATAGGGGGCCCTTATTAGAATATCATTTTGGTGGGAAAAAAACATAGTTGAAAGATAAATTTTGTGGTTTGTGCTGACAGCCTGAAATGTTTATGTACGACAGATATATTTTTCTAGAATTTAATTGCCCATAAATAAGGGTCCATATAACACACGTGTGCGTATTATACCGAATAAATAAGTCTTGTGTACATTGATCAATCGGATGGGATACTAATTGGGCTTATTCACTAGCCAATATATCAGCAAATATCGCCGTGGGCGCTTATTAGAGCGGGGCGCTTATTACGTCGAATACGGTAATACATGTTAGGTGATGAAGGTTTTGGCTGATGTTATTAAGATAACCATGTAACATGATAGATTTTTTGTGTCAAATTCTGCAATAAAGAAAACAGGGAGTTCCACTGAAGACGCAGGACCAACTATGAAGACGTTGTAATAGATGTTGTTTTCATATGATCAGAGTTTTGGAAAGACGTTTTGTAAACTCTTTGTCTCATTGGGTGAGCTTCAGTACCTCAGTACTTGTTCCCTGTCCTGTTGCAAAGTTGTTTGCTTTTGTTTAAGGTCATAGCACATCTTTGCATCACTGCTGACACGATGTTGAGTATCTTGTGTTGCAGAAATTCACCATGAAACAAGTGTGGCAAGTTTATCATATTGGAAGATCCTTAGATCGAGCATTTATTCAAGGCAGGCATTTCAAGTTTTCATTTTTATCAATTTTGAGTCAATTGTCTCTTTACAATGTTCAAATTGAATTGATCACAAGTTATAAAGGAACATATGAAAAGTTCAATTTGGGATAAAACTTTATTCCTTACAACCATATCCTAACCCTTAAAACCTAGTATGGAACTGTTGAAACAACTCCTCTGCATACGATTATCTTTTGACATGTTCACAATGGAAACACAGACAGTTTGGGTATTTGATCAGGATTTAGTCATTGTACTAATGGTGCATTGGTTGACAGTGTTTTGCTAGTCAGGCACTTATCCCAGGCAGGTGTATCCAATGATGTGGGGGCCGTGTATTCAAGTGCTGATGCAGCATAATGCAATATTCCAGCTCGTGGGTGAAGTGGTTGCTGTTGACGTTTATGTTGTATCATCAAGGCCAGCCAGGCAGTCAGACCAAGGCCTGTTGAAATAAAACCATGCATCCTCGTTTATCCAGTGTATTTTATCTCTGTATTATGATGAATACCTTGGACTCATTGCCACCTAAGAAGTTCTGTCACCGCCTCCATTCGCTCCGAATTGTTAACAAACAATTTCTCTTGCACATGAGAGTAATTTGATTGGAAGGCTATTTTTAGCATTGTGACTTCCGAATCAGCCCGAAAAGCAAAACAATGGTAGCAAATGGTTCCAGGGTATTTATCAAAATGGATGGAGTCAGTGTTGGTATCCAAACAACTGATATTGGTAATGGACACAACACACGTCGGCCATGTTTGTATTTTCACCACTGTTCCCTTAGACTTCAGCTTGTTAAATGCAGTTTTTGTGTATATTGGGAGCATGTGAAGTTGCAGTTAATGCAGACAAGGGAAAGATGTCAAGATGCTGGTGATGGTTAGTACTTGTAGATGTTGCTTGTACATGCAGTATTCCACCGTGAAGTGATGGCTTCTGCATATCCTACTATTACCCAATAAACTTATTTTATCTTTGAGTTTGGTTTTCTAGTTTTTGTTAGTTAAGGTTAAAAACTGGGATTTACTGGATGCGAAATCCGGCATCCTATGTGCATTTAAAGTGTTTGCAAAAGAAATAGAGTGCATCCACTGACATGCGGAAAATGTGTATGCATGAATGCTGCTACTTCATGATTTGCTATAACTTAACAAACATAATTTCCTTATGTAATCATTTAAAAAATTTAATTCACAGTTGAAAGCTTCATGATCTTATAGTGATAGGACTTGTAATTTCAGTTGAGGAATTCCATATATATTTTTTTCTAAACATCATCTCTGGGCTTCAGCAATTTTATATCACTTGTGGCAGAGTGCTGTCTCTGTATTCATTGGGTTAGTGTGCTTCAAACCCAGGTCAAAACAACAAATTTTGCGAAGGTCAAGTACGTCTTCAAGTGCAAACAAACATTATATATGATATAACAGATTATATAAGATGAATCAAGAAGGAATTAAGCTGCTTTAATTCACACTGTTGTATTCAATATGTGACACTTCTCTGGGACCCGTATTTTTAACCCTAGGACTACAATTAACAGTTGCGAGTCCCTGGTACCCCAAAATAAAAAAACAAGGTAAATACCTGTTACAAATAATGAGATCATATACATTACAAAGCAATCATTTAGGAAATAAACATACTGCGTTTTCAATGTAGAGGTAGGTTACCTGTAGATTTAACTGTGCTAAATTGAATTTAGATCTGAATACGCAGCGTGAGGTTTCAAATGTTAAATTTATCAGTTTGTTTTCACCATAATATATCACTTGAACTTATGACAGGCACTGGCAGCATGTAGCACGACAGTTTCCTAAGCTAACAGGAGAAGAGCACCCTGAAAGAATCTAAGCAAGCCTTGCAGAGGTTTCATTCTACACGACACGACACTATTATGACATCATATTGCTCATTGTGATGCAAAACATATATCACAGTCGCCATGACAAAAGCCCCACTTATCAACTTCTCCGTTGTCCTCAAATCCTGAAAAATACATTTTCTTAGTAGATTTGTATCATGTTTGCTGATAGAAATGTATTGCCACACACCTTTTGAATATTGTAGTAACCGCATCTTTGCATTTTGCAGCCTATAATTGGTCATATAATATTTAAATATGCCTACCGACAATGACTGTATAAGAAGTACTATTCTAAAATATTAGTTTCAGTGGTGATGTGGATGTCAAATCTGCTGTTTCAATCAGAGAGTGTTTATTGTGATTTGATACCTCTGATTGACCGATCAAAATTGAGTATTTTACAAATTCATGGTAGAAAGAATGTTATGTCTTCATTATATTCACTCACAATTTACTTTTAAGATGTCTGTAATCCACACATCCACATCTGCTCATGTGCAGCAAACACAGAAGACATGGTTGTTTATTTTCAAGATTTATTGTACAGTCTTATTCTCAAATCACATTCATGGTAAGCAATAACAGATTCAACATCTTTGAACATAAAAAAAACAAAAGAAGAAACAACAAAATAAAACAGGATTCAAATACTTGTGAATTGAAAGTGAGTGAGTGTGGTGTACTTTTAGCAATATTCCAGCAATATCATCGTGAGGGACACCAGAAATGGGCTTCACACATTGTACACATGTGGGGAATCGACCCAGGGCTTCAGCATAATGAGAGAAAGCTTTAACCACTTTTCTACCCCACTGCCCCTCATAACAGCCCGGCACCAAGTGAAGTTAAGTTTTATGGTTCTTCATTAAAAACAAGTCTTATTGCAACAAAACAAGATAGACCCTATCTCAGCTTAACCGTCTCAAAAGTGTTAACAAGAGAGTTGAGTACAGGACCCCATGTGTCGTCACTAGACTCACCTGCACAAATCACATAAAACCCCTTTAAATGTCTTGACAGAGTGTGAAAGGTTTGTCAAGGTTTAATTCCTTGTAAATGTGTGTTGATTACAAGGGAATTCATCATTATGCAGTGTATACTATTGATAAACACTTGTACTTAAAATGACATGTACATCAAAATGAATCTGATGTGTCTAATTGCTATATCTATACCATATATTACAACAATGTTCATCATAATACCGGGTCACATCTGAATGAAACAGGGAGGCAGATTCATGAAACAGTTGGTGTGGCAGATTCATGAAACAGTTGGTGGGGCAGTCATGAAACAGGGTGGCAGATTCATGAAACAGTTGGTGTGGCAGATTCATGAAACAGTCAGTGTGGCAGATTCATGAAACAGTCAGTGTGGCAGATTCATGAAACAGTCAGTGTGGCAGATTCATGAAACAGTCAGTGTGGCAGATTCATGAAACAGTCAGTGTGGCAGATTCATGAAACAGTTGGTGTGGCAGATTCATGAAACAGTTGGTGTGGCAGATTCATGAAACAGTCAGGGTGGCAGATTCATGAAACAGTCAGGGTGGCAGATCAGTCATTGAAACACATAATGTTCCAGAATCCCCCCTGTAGATATGTACTCTGAGTATCCGATCCTCGGCGCCGTGTAGCCTGCAGCAGCAAGGGTCATTGCAATCGGCAGAAAGTGTTCAATACGCGGATGTGCTACGGGAAATTCCTGCTTACTGACACAGCCAATCAGCTTCCTCCGTCTGTCTTCCCGTGAATATTCCGGATTTTGCAGGATATCATGCAGCCACTTCTGGTATTCCAGAGCCCAGGGGGCAGGGGGACCCGGATGTCCCAGCATGTTCTTTCCATGGGTTGTGAAGCCACTGCCGATGATCAGGATACCCTCTTTCCGAAGGTCAGACAATGCCTCACCAAGGTCAAGGTGCTTTTCCATATTGAGGTTGGACATGAGAGAGAGCTGGAACACTGAAAACATTACACACATTGAATTAACATCTGTTGTGAGAACTTTACTGCTTGTTTTTTTAACCCAAAGAAACTTTGATTAAAGTAACATAGTAATCAATTTAGAAGCAGTTCATAACTTGATCAGGCCAAAATCAGAGTTACCTCCCTTAGCACCTTCTCTTCTTATCTACTCAACATTGGACATATGCTTTCATATGGTGCCAGAAAGGTAAGTAAATGTACATGTGAAGAAAATAAAGTACCAGGCTTATCACATGTTGTCACAGTAGTCCTACAATATGGTCTGAAGTATTTGCAATGCTGTGTTCTTTCTCCCTTGTGGGGACACCATGTAAACACTGCTCAGTTCACCATCTCCAGGGCTAGCATTTCGTAAACTAAACACTGAACCCCTGGACCCATCCCCTTGATCCTCGCAATCTCAAACTACCCGCCCTTGTTTTCATTTAGCCAATTTTATTGGCTACGCTACAAGGTCTAACGTACCAATCAGAATGCGAGTTACAAACCAGTCTCAATGTTGAGGTGGCGATATCAACAACATCGTGGCAAGTCTCACTGATAACGATAGAGTTTGAGAGAAATTCAACATTGAAAAACTGACTGACACGCAAATGAAGGCCGTCGAAAATCTTTTTTGTGGAAAGCATGTCTTCTTGTCCATCAAAACTGGCGGGGGCTTTAGTTTCTAGGCAATACAAGTTATCTCCCTTATCCATTTTCTTTTTTCTTATCTTAACTTTTGATTGGTCAGTAAAATGTTAATGAAAATCAAGGGCAGGTAATGTAAGATTGCACAAGAAACCACGAGGATGGATCCAGGGCTTAGTGCAGATTTACTGAAATACTCGCCCTGGAGATACAAAGGATGTTTTTCACTAACAAATTACCAAGTTAGGTCGCAATAAAATTGGAATAATGTTCCTCAATATTTTGTATTTCATTTGTTGTTTTGAGTCAGTAGGCAATGGTTCAAAGTGCAGGGTGCTAATGTTTACAGCATCAAGCATTGGTACATGTATTTACTTATTCAGAGAAAGGTTTCATTATTCTCCTTATATGTTTACAGTCACTAAGAGACTCCCCTACATTTGATCTATAACTAATTATTACAGTCACTCTATGTGAAATTTAAAGCATTTCTTTTTCTTTTTCAAATTCATCAAAATTATAGCAGTCTGACAAATAAATATAAATCAAAGAGCAACCAAATCTCTATTGCAGAACTTTTGTAACAGTTTTGGTATGGCTGTGAGTCTATATAATGACCGATGCATCAGTGCATTATGATACTATAGAAGTTGTTGTATCTCGAGTTCTTGCATCGAATCAAATGAAAAAAAAATATCCCTGAGTTCCATGTCACACATGCCCTAACAGAGATCAGCAGGTAAAAAAAAAAATTTTTGTAACTGTGCCAACCAGTTACAAAAGTGATGTCGGATTGAGAGCCACAATTGAATAACAATTCAGACAAGTTATCACAAACATGTATATATCTTTCAACCAAAAGACCAGCTGGTATGTTCCAGCAGTTCACAACTAAATCCACTCATCTGAATCCCAAGTCTAGTAACATTCTGTTTGGTCACAGCTTATAATCATCCATTTTGATAATAGAATTACAAATAGACCAATCTCATTAAAATCAGATCTTAGTTCTCGCTGTCGCTAAACAAAGATCTGAGGACATCCCATTAAGGGTCATGTCAGAACGACCTTTCATCCAACCAATCAGATCGTCGCTTACCAGATCACGAAAGTGACAGTCGGAATGTGTTTTCTAATCATGCAACCACGAAATATTTAACACAGAGTATTCCGAACGACAGTTACGGGTTTTAGGATTATATCCATGCAATCTAGGCCGTCTATAAGCCATTCCAGAATATTCTTCTTATCAGTTTTAATTTTTTTTAATCGAGAATACGTCAAAATATGTTTCGAAGCATAGTCACCAGTTTGAAACTAGTGTCGTAAAGCTCGAGAAAGCTGCCTTCTGATTGGCTAATGTCGATTTCTTGTCGGTCATTTCATTGGTCGGTCAAAATTCGCAAAAAGTCGTTCTGACGTGACCCGTAATGGGATGTCCTCAGATCTTTGTTTAGCGGTGGAAAAAACTAAGGTCTGATTTTAATGAGATTTACAAATAGACTGCTGTCAAAATGAGGCTAGTTGACTGAAAAATGACTTTTGGTACAGAATGTACCAGTGCCTCGTTATTACTATTCAGCATTAAACCAAATCTTACTCTCAATTACAGATATTACAGAATTACATAAAAGGACCAATCTGACCTACCTGGAATATCAGCTTTAGGGTAGATCAGGAGAAGTGGGACAAAGACACCGTGGTCAAAGCCTCGATTTTGGTCGGAACCACAAGTAAATCCCCTTGCCTCCAGCACCTGCCTGGTTCTCTGGGCCGATTCCGGAGCCCCAGGGGAGGGCCACTTCAGCTTGTATGTGTCACTAGGAAACCCATAGTAGTCGAAGTAGAGGGGTGGGGAGGGGCCGGTCATGACTGTGGGGCGGGGTTCTTCCCAGTGGGCACTGACAACCAGGATGGCTTTGGGGCGGGGCAGCTTTTCTCTCTCGACCATGTTCCTGAGGTAGTCAGCAGCCTTGGAGTCCTTGTCTATTGCTTTGAAGGCTGGGAAGTCGTCCCTCGACATGAAGAAGGAGGGGCCACCGCCGTGGGAGAGGAACACTACTGGCTGAAGAGTCTCAGACATGCTGGAACATGGAGGGGACTTTGTTGCCACACAGACAGTTAAATGGAAGTCCAAGCAACACTGGTTCAAGTCATTCCAAAACCATTCTTAAAAACTAAATTTGTATAAAAATATACAAATCTAGCAAGTGTTCATTAGCCAATTAACGGAGAGCATGTCAGTTTAACATGTCACTGATTACTGATTCATTACTGAATTACTTACTATAGTTGAATGCTTTAAACAAAAATATCAATTAATTGATTAATATTGGGGTGGGGGTTGGGGTGTTAATGTGGAAAGGGAAGTAACTCTCGTCATTTAAACATACCCTACTCCTTGTAAAAGACCCTACACCCTTAGTCAGTACTTACCCCACCCCCATTTAACAACCTATACCACCCTGAGTCAGAGCATACTCCACCCTGAGTCAGTACTTACCCCACCCCCATCTAACAACCTACACCACCCTCAGTCAGTACTTACCCCACCCCCGTCTAACAACCTACACCACCCTCAGTCAGTACGTACCCCAGCCCCATCTAACAACCTATAGATACCGTCATCTGTAGGTACGAACACACCCAATCTAACACCCTACACCACCCTCAGTCAGTACGTTATACCAGAGACCATATACTCTATTATATGGTCTCTGGTTATACCTACACCTGCTTAACATCTAACACCACTCTCAGTCAGCATAGCCTACATGTGTACACATCCCCTGTCTATCGCCTACACCATCATCTGTTGGTACGAACACACCCTAACACCCTACACCACCCTCAGTCAGTACGTTATACCTACACCTGCCTAACATCTAATACCAGCCTCTGTTAGTATACATACACATTCCCTGTCTAACACACTACACCACCCTCAGTCAGTGGGACCCAACATCGTCTATATTTTATGGTACTAAAACTGCTACTAAAAATTCTTACCTGTTTGTGTAGCGTCGGTCAGTCAGACACTGAGACAGTGCTTGTTCAGATGTAATTTACGCACAAACGGATATCACCATGTAACTGTTACTTGGGTGTCACGTCATATATTGCAGAAAAATAGTGTATTTCCAGAAGAAACGGCAGTTCCGAGAACCTGATATCGTAAAACGCGAAGTCATTGTGCTTAGTCATTAGGAAGTTCCGTCACTGAACTGACAATGTAAACAAATGCAATGGGATGGGATTTTTGGGGCGCTTCTCTCACTTACATTCAACGCTAAGATAATCTCTCTTATAACATATACGGACAAAACATCAAATTTCTTATATGGGTAAGATCTTAAAACCGTGCTGTTTAGAAATATAATTCTGTCATGTGAAGCAAATATTAAACTAATAGTATTTGTTCACGCGTGTGAAACAAAACACTTTTGAAGGAATTTAGAGTACGCATTTGAACCTTTTACCACCCACTGTGTGTTGTGATATATTTTATAAGCATGTTTGTATCGGTGAGGTCCTCAAATAGACATTGCTGTTGACCAACCCATTTGAAGAAAAATGTATTCAACACGTTAAGCACCGAATTGTATCAATACAGATTATGGGGGACATGCGAGATCAGGAAATGTTATCGTTTAAACATTTTTTATGACAAAAACATTAGGATCTGACAAAAGTGGTTAACTTACGATGTCATTCAATCTTCTTACTGGTATATTTGTATTGACAATATTTATTTCCAAATATTACATACTGGGAAGAATATTAGTAAACAAAATGTCAATAAATATCTATATAAAATCATTCTGCATTGATCACGAACAGTACATATAATGTAGCAAAATTGCATAATAAAATCCAGAAATACATAATTCATGGAATATACAAACATAATTCGTTGTAATAATAGAATCTTGACCAGACAATCCAGTGATTGACACCATGAGCATCGATCTACGCAATTGGGATAGATGGCATGCATCAGCCTGTTAGTCGCTTCATATGACAAGCATGGGTTGTTGAAGACCAATTCTAACCCAGACCTTCACGTGTTTGTAAATTCAGTCGCCTGTGGGGGCAAGCAATGGGGTGCTGGGGACACATTCTACCCCGGGTCTCCACGGGTTGTCATAGAGTAAGTGCAATGCGCAATGCAATCTGTGTATAACCAGTCACAGTTAGTGCAACACTAACTTAAACATCAATCTACATGTTTGACGATTAAAGCGCTCGGTTTCAAATGTATTAATAAGAGGTATCTCCTCTACGGTGGGACTACAACAAAATCTCCTAAATCAATACATGTCAGTAAGATTATCAAACTTTTGAACAGTTAGGTAAAATATACTGACGGGCAAAAAAAGGTGTACACTTGAAACTTGGATGTGACCCAAAAGTTAAAAACGACTGAGCTGTTGTGAGACAATCATTAATATGATGTAAATGTAATATCGGCTATATCCCTATTAAATACATCACCGGCGAATAATCATTTCTTGTGTGTTTTATTTTTAGCCACCATCAAACAAGCATGTGGTGGAGAGGTTGCGCTCCTCTGCTCACCGACACAGACACAGAAGACACAGGCAGACACACACTCAGATACAGACACAACACACAGACAGAGACAGACAGACAGACACACACACACACACACACACACACACACACACACACACACACACACACACACACACACACACACACACACACACACACACACACACACACGCACGCGCGCACACACACACACACACACACACACAAACACAGACACAACAGACTCACACATACACAGACACGGACACACACACAATAAATACAATGCAGTTATCTTTATATATTTATATAACCACGCAAAGACATAACTGAACCTTCAATTCCTTGTTCATATCCCGTGTTAAATAGAAATAATCATTCATATCGACATAATTGTGTAAAGAATACAACCATGATATTGCTGACATTTGTATCTGAAAGAATCTTTAGAAACCGTGTTTAGGTCCATTTCCAGCAAAATCAAGAGATGGATTCAGGAAAGAGATAGATGGATGTGTGTGCTATCATCATTAGCTGGAAGAGCTCGTAAAATCTCTTAAAGTTTGCCAGTGTCTTTCTTTCCGTGGGGTGGGGTGGGGGGTGGGAGTGGTCTTATCGTCTGAGGCGCAGAATTTCGCTAGACAGAGTTACGTCATGCAGTAAGCGTGTCAGAATCTTCTTGCTGTTGATTCGAATCCCAGGTTCGCCCTTATTTTCATTCCTGGTTTGTCAGCACGTACTGTTTGGATTTTATCAGTGTGGTAAACACCCAAGACCCGCATCACCTTCCACATTGAGCTGAGCTGTGACTGGAATACTGTTAAACCAAACTGGTTTAATGCGTTAAACCAAACTCATTCGCTCTTTCTTGCCACGTTTGATAAAACACATCTTTATTCAGTGAATCTGGATAAAAAGTTTGACAAATAGAATATAGTTTAATTCTAAGGTTTCGCTGAAAGAATTGTTTCCCACGCTACCAGTCATTCATTGACCAGTTTTGTCAATACACATGCCTCTGAAATAATACACAGATGAGAATTAGCGTACTCCTGTATTTAACAGTTGATACTGAACACGTTTCGCTACCCCGTCCTTTAGTACTACTTTGCTGACGTGGTAGACTGAACAACTCACATAAACCTGTGTTAGAAGGTATACATTTCCTGAGATAATGCGAAATGACTAATGACATGAATCAAATGAATTTATAAAATCATGTTACCTTCAACTAATATTCTATACATATATGTATGTATAGAATTAACACATTGTGTCTCGAAAGTCATGAAAATATAAACTTTGTCAGGTCACACGCACGACGAAACAAAAAAAAAATTAGATTGCCACGTTTCAAACTGTGCTCCGGCAGCTGCCTTGAATTTTTGTCGTTCTTTTATTTAGATTCTCCCTTTGTAAAGGATTTATATAGTATTTTTTTCGAGCATATTTTTATTCCGACTTAGAATTGGGATCGGTAAACATGACAACGCTTACTTTAATACCTCTCCCTATATAAAAACCGAGTAACAGAAGAAATTCAAGGTGTTTACATATATTGGTATTATATGTGAGTGTTTAGAGTACTGATTGAATGTTAATCTACCAAAATGTGATGAAACTATGGACAGATAAATAATTCTGGCTGTCAGTTCTAAATCTGTCTTATCATTACTGGTGAGGTGAGGTGAGGTGAGGTGAGGTGAGGTGAGGTGAGGTGAGGTGAGGTGAGGTGAGGTGAGGTGAGGTGAGGTGAGGTGAGGTGAGGTAAGGTGAAATGGGGTTTAACGTCGCTAGATTATTGCACTTATATAACGACGGGTATGCACGTGTGTGTGCGTGTGTGTGGCTGCTTGTACTAGTCCGACTGATGCCGATTTATAGTGCTAGCCAACTGAGATACCATCCCGCAGTTTAACATGAATACCCCACTCAGACACATTATACTGACTCCGAGCCGACCAGTGCTTGTTTTAGCCCCTCTATGCCGAGCGCCAGACAGGGTAACAACAATTAGCATTTTTAACGTCTTTTGGTATGACGCGCCCGTGGATCGAACCCCGAACCTTCTGCTCTCCGGACGGACGCTCTACCACTAGACAACGGAGGCGGTCCTCATAATTACTGATATTGGTAGATGCCTACGGATTGGGGAGGAAAGTAACATATTATTTTGGTTCTCTTTTCGCAAGCATTTCATATGATAATTGATACACGAAGACGCCTATAGAAGGAATGGAAAGCAAATAAACATATTTAGATTAACCTTTTGCAAAGCATTTCATAAATAATTGATATATCAAGATGAATACAAATGCAGTTTAGAAAGTGGTCTAATGTAACAAATGTTATACTTGGGATAAACACTTCCTTAGTAAAGTACAAATTTTAGTACTTTTTGAGGTCCTATCGGGGATTCGAACCCACACTCTCAGATCTGGAAGTCTAGATCACGTACATTGTGTACCCCTTTGATATATGTACATTGGCACGGCTCCCATTGCCGAAAGCTATAAACACACAATGCCATATAGAAAGTGGTTAGATGTAACAAATGTTATACTTGGAACAAACACTTGATTTAAACAATATTCATTTCCAAGAAAAAGGAATGGGATTGGTGAACAGGTTCAACTTATTTAAAAACCGCTCCCTACAAAAGACATTTAACAATTAATAAGAGTAAACTGTACATAAAATAATAAATTTTGATTGATTGTGCCTACTGTTGCAAATATTATGATGATATACAAGTCACACACAAATACACGCATACATATATCGATACATAAACAAACAGCATACCAGCATATCACACATACAAACAACTATTTGGTCGATGTAATCGTTATGAAGACATATTTAGATTTTTTTATTTTGCAATGAACAAATGGACAGATTGTACAATAGCAAGGTTAGTATCAGTAGATGTTGTAGCATTTCCTTATAATACTGAATCCAAGTCATATCCCTTTATATAGTAGTACATATTGTTCCGAAGATTACAGTAGTTGCGACATGAATAAACACTGACTTAGTAAAGTACAGATTCTAGTACGATCGCTGTCTCTGTGGGCTGGCGATAACGTTAGATATGTTAAGATGCCTATTGATGTGGGTTCTAAGTAAAATAACCTATTTAGATTATCGTTTTGTAAGGCATTTCATAAAATAATTGATATAAAAAGATGCCTATAGATGGGAGTGGCAAGTAAACTTAACTTTCCGTTTTGTGCAATGACATACTGTCATTTATTCCTTTCTGTGTATTGCAACAATCTTATTGTTTGAACTTGTTTCTTGTACAGTGTAGAGAGATGTTATTTAGACGGCAAAATATCAAAGACCTCAAAATACTTTTCTTAATTTCTCAAACTAGCATCATATAAAACAGCACCCTAACAAAGCTCGAAGTCGGATTAATGAACCACTTCTTTGTTTCCTTCTTCAGATAATGTATATTGTATATTATATTATAGTATATTTTAAATATGTACGTTACCTGTATATGGGTGAGAAAGTGTCTCAAACGAACCTTCTCTACCACCTTTGAAATATTCTTTAAAAAACAAACAGTCGTGAGACCGGAAATGCCTGTGATGATTGATCCAATTTGTTTGATGCAGCGCGTGATGTCCTTCCCTTTGATGCACGCCGACACTGAAACATGATTGTGGAAACAG